TAACAGTGGCAGTAGGCCGGCTGGAGGTCAGCCAAACGGTCACTAGAACATGCTTTCACCTGTTCAGACACTGTTAGAATTAACTAAGGAATTAATTTATTAATGTCTGTAGGTACGGACAACGGCACATCAGACTACACATTTTTGTTCGAAAATCGCCTCTTTTGCAACGAAACCAGATACGTCAATGTGTAGCTTGATGTGCTGGTACGTAAAGTACAGGATACATAAAATCCGATTTCCTGGAAAGTTTCTTAGATCACAGTTATGTTTACACATATTCTCTCCTACTTACGAGCCAAATAAGCATATTGTTTACTCACCTACTAATCTTTATAGCTATAGATATAGATATAGGTATAGCTATAGTTGTGATGAAATTAATAATAATAATAACGCACACACTCAACATAGCCCCGCACTAGGAAAAGCCTATGTCGCGGGTGCCATGGATACACACATAGACAACCACAAATTACACCCAAACTCACGAGAGAAATAAATGTGGGCCATACAAATATTTCCCTCGGCCCGAGAATTTAACCTGGGACTTCTGCGTGGCAGTCCGGCATGGTAACCGTTCGGCCACAGAGGCAGTAAAAAATTAACAAAGAAAGAGAGATATCTCTTCCTACAAAGATTTTTTTAACCGACTTGAAAAATGGAGGAGGATCTCAATTCGAATGTATGTTTTTTTTGTACGCGATAACTCCGGTATTTGTGAACCGATTTTCATGATTCTTTTTTTTTGGAAAGAGGGTACCTCCGTAGTGGTCCCAATTCATTTTGAAGAAAATCATTCACCTCTAAGTGTGGCTGTTCACACATGAAGATTCATTTTTATAAATAGCGTCTAAATTTTATTATAAGGAGCAATTATTTTAATGGTTGTTTTTGCTATTCTCCAATTCAAAGCGTTTTACTCTCTCAATATACTTTGAGTAGTGAGAACCGATTTTTATTATCTCCTGTGTCAAGTCCCTTATAGTGGCGAACTAGGGTTGAATCCGGGTTTGCGCACTTTCCGGTAACCGATTTCAATAAAACTTGGTAATTATATGTAATTCCACATACTTTTAAGGTCGGTTATTTTTAATACTCTGTACCGAGATTATTATAATATCAAATGACGGGACGAACAAATCGTGCGTCTGGCGGTAAACGACACGTCATCGGTCCATATCATTTGCAGTGCCACTCAGAACTTTAAATCGCAAAAATCTGAGAGGCACTGCCATCGCGTCCGTCACCGTGAGACATAAGTTGACAGTCTTCAAAACCGGAACGCAGTAATGCTCACATTTACTGCTTGGCGGCAGAAATAGGTACGATGGTAGTACTTCTATGGACGAACCTTTTCACAAGGAGATCCACTACTACTAGATATATATTCGCTTACTTGTTACAATGTCAAATATTCAATGAAATAGTAATAAAAACCTATTATTTATTTATTTAGGAAATCGTCGCCTTACTTTCTCAAACTCGTATCTTAAAGCACAAAGTTACTGAAATGCAAAAAACGGATTATATATACAAATTTTGCGAACTGATTTCACATCACATTTCCTTCATATTTACACACTAGGTTTTCCTGTTCTTAAAGTAAAGCGTCTAAATTAACATCCTTGATAAGAAATGTGAAATAAAAAGAAAGTTTTACCATCTCCTCAATAACCTCTTCTTATCTTTATAAGATACGAGTTTGAGAAAGTAAGGCATCGATATTCCACGTAGAAAACACTAACTATGGACTAATGCAAATACATTTAAACATATAAACTAGGTGCATCTACACTTAAAGGTTAATAAATATAAATATTAGACATCATTATACGTTGCTCCAATCACAAGTAAGTAACTAAAGCACTTGTGTTATGGAAATCGGAAACAACGACGGTACCACAAACATCAGACCCGTGACAATATATAAAAGTTAGTTTTCGTACCAATCGAGATCTGAGGTCTCGCCTCAGAAATGGCGGCATCACGACAACCGGTATGCAACCTACTCGACAACAGAGGTTCGTAACGAACATCAAAGCATGCAATTGCAGCAATATGAAATAAAATATTAAATATATGTTTATACACCAAATTACTTCACGAACAAGTCGTGCGCCTAGTGGTAACCGACACGGCTTTCCATGGCAGTTTGCAGTGCCACTCAGAGCTTTAAATCGCATAGACCAGAGGGAAACTGCCACCGCACCCGTCACCCTGAGACATAAGTTGACAAGACCCACGTGCCTGTAATTTCACCAGCATCCCTATCCTTCAAAACCGGAATAAGACAGTAATTATAATCATTAAGGAAAATTATTTGAATTTATGCATAGGGGAACGTGGGGTATTGGGAGCCCGCGGGTAATGAGAGCGGTGTTGAACTGGACTGGACTTTCCCAATGCTCGCATTTGTGCAAACGGCACTCCTATGTCTTCGTTAACGTTCGACAAGGTTCGAGTCCAGTGGGCGCCCCCGTAGAACCCCGCGTTTAGTTGTATGAGATGATTGTGTGTTTTTCGCTCTGCGCTTATAAAATTTGTTAAATTTCATGATCCCAGATAAGCATTAAAATGCAAAGATACTACATTGTATTTGCCCTAGCCATGTCACCACATCCATCCAATTTTAGAAGTTATGCTTGAAATCAGAATAAAAATAGAAATGTTTTTACTGTTTTATTTTTTTTTAATTCGATATTACGCGGGTAATGAGAGCTACTTGGCTCTCTTTATCTCATTGCAATATTCACTGGATATTCCTTTAACACTTCTTGTTTATTTTCATTACTTTTTAACTTATATATTTTATTACTTCAATAATTTTTTTTCACACTGATTAAATATAATGGCTCCCATTTGACATAGGGGATTCTTACTCATTTCCCGAACTGTGGGGTAACGAGAGCGAATGACATGTTTTAGTATTTCCCGTTTTAACCAAATATTTAATTTTAGTTTCATACTTTTCTGTGATTATTTTGTACGTTCGTTCGTTCGAAGCGTACGTTCATAACTAATAAAAATTTAAATTTCATAAATTATGACTTTTATTGTCAATTTTCCTTAGTAGGCTCCCATTCCCCCACGCTCCCCTACATATTTCTTATACATATTTAACTGCCTCCGTAGCCAAACGGTTACCATGCTGGACTGCCACGCAGTGGTCCCTGGTTCGATTCCTGGGCCGGAAGACATATTTCTATGGCCTACATTTCTTTCTCTCGTGAGTTTGGATGTAATTTATGGTTGCCTTTCCCTAATGCGGGGTTTTGAGTGTGTTCGATATTATTATTACATAACTATTAAGTCTATAATACATAATCCTGTTTTAGTTTACAATACTCGTAATTATTTAAAGAAATTAAAATTATGAAACTTAAGAGAAATAATAAAATATTTGCAAAATTGAGATGATTAATGTTTAATCACGTAACTTGAAACAAATGTTATACACACATCGTTTGCCAAGGCTCTGTAGAAGCCTTGGCAAACGAGCGATATGATCGAGGTTATTTTTACATCATGGTGCAGTGAAAATCATTGTCAAGCGTAATCTTCATTGTACATGATGACGCTTCAATCTTCAAGATGTATGGAAAGAGAACATGGCTCTAAATTCCACACAAACTGGATTCAAAGTATATTCCATAGCATAAGTTTATATGAAAAGAGCAATTTGCTGAGAGTTTCTTGCTCGTTCTTCTCAGGGAAGTCAGCATAGTGTCGTAGCAGTAGCTTAAAAGTGACGTTTTCAAGTGAAATTTATTTTACCTATGGAATGAATGTTTCTTTGACTTTGACAGAAACTGCTTGTTTATTTTCTGTACAAAAAAGACTGTAATGCTATGAAATAGTACATATTATTGCAGAGGCTGAGAAGTAAGGGCTTACTGGACGAGTTTGAGGTAAAGGCCGAGCGCCAGTGAGGCCTTGTATTAATACGAGTCATACAATCCCTATTCTCGCCGAGACCTGTAAGTAAGAGTCCCAGAGAATCTGAAGAAATAATAACAGTTAAAAAAACATTAATTTAAATTAAAAGTAATTACTAACGTGTTTTTCCAAGCACAATAACAGTAGTACGTTGACTGTATATCCATTACTGTATTTCAGTTATCGCTCTTCTCGCTAGAACTCATTTCACAAACAGAAAAATATACCAAATCATTTTAATTTATTTTACCGCCTATTTAAAAGAAAAGTAAGCGGTACAGGTAGGTATTTTTAATTCTCGCAATTACGACCACAGGAAAGTAGCCTCTATGAATTTTTCGTTTGTTTGTTTGCATAGTTCATGTGGTTCATTGTTATTTTTTTTTACTTTATTTAAACTTAATTGCACACAAAACAGTACAAATGGCGCACTTAATGCCATTAGGCATTCTCTACCAGTCAACCGTATAACATGATAATAAAAACAAATAGGAAGAAGATTATAAATAATTAAGATATATTAGTTTAAACTCAATATAAATATAGTACATAATAATATACGACTAACTATATACCTATATAAGCAACCTATATACACACAAATACATAATATATAATAGATAGACATATATATGTATTCTATATACATATATATATTACAATGTCAGAATAATGGGATGTAGATTGAGACTCCAATATGAAATCGCGGACTAATTGCTTGAAAGCTAGTTTATTCGGCGCATTAATATTCATATGATATCATATACATATATTATTCATATTAAATAGATTTAAAGTTTAGAGCTGCGGACAGTAATGGATTTTCATATTTACTTTGCAGGTCTTGGCTGGGAAGAAGTCGCACGGTCCATAAATTACTAACTTTCCGTATTCGTTTTCTGAAAGTAATGCAGACATTTCCAAGCATGTTTCAGAAAAAGAATTTTACAATATCAATTTTGATAAGTGCAACACAAATTACAATAACCGTTACCTAGCCAGATTATCCTATCAGTGTATTTATAGTGCACAAGTTCAGTTAGCCAAACGATGAAACGCTCGCCTCGATGCGCCCCGAGACGTCATTCGAAAACGCATTGTGTGGATTGATATAGTCTGCATTTCCTGTGCATCAGTTCTCACCCGTGCTTTGTGTGTTTTACGAGTATCACTGTTCTGTGTCAGGCAAATATCCGAAGGCGCGTCAAGCGGAATTGTAATACGACAACGTGTGCATCTCATTGCTCCACTTCGTTTCTGTTACGAAAAATCTGACCTCAAAAATGCTAAAGGAATGGGGCAAGTAGTAACTTTGCTTTTACGTTTTCGTCTGTGAAAATATATCTAGCGAAGGTTTTTCTTCGAAGAAGAATCGTAAAATCGATTCACTAATCTATCTCAATGAATATTTATGGGTATTATAGGTAAAGTTATGCATCTTTATAGATCGTATTTAATTTGTTTAAAATACTAAATACGATTTTGATTGTTTTGATATTCGGGCTCAAATGCCCATTGTATTTATTACCTTTTTAATTTTGAAAATTTAAACAACTTTTATTGTACAAATTGACTGACAGCTCATTCAGGTTACTATAAGAAGTTAATATTTTTTCAAGAAATTTCAACAGTTTTAGAACAAAAGTAGGTCATATTTGTGATTAGGTACAATGAGCCCTTAAAGTGTTATTGAACCGTTTTAATGAAAGAGAAAAAGAATTCAAGAACACAATTGTACAGACACGTAAACACGTAATGGAACTATGTAAGTTTTAATTCAAATAAAATAAGAACAAATAAAAATCCAATATATTCATTCTGCAACAGGTTACAGTAAATACATGAAATTCGTGGTGATAAATAAATATATAGTGTTTTTTTTTATGCTGAGAACTAAACAGATAAACAAGTATAGGGAACGTATTACACAAATCATACAGTTTTTAGCTAATATTATGTCTGGTATTAGTATTGGAATAATATTAACTAAGTAATTTACAAATATATTTTTATTACAACAATTACCAATGTCATATTACTTAGTAGAATTCAAAAATTCATCTACTGAATAAATTGTTGCGCCTTTTCAAGGCGAGAGTGAATAGTCATTATTTAGGTGTGCATGCTCCATTATCGACCCCATCGTAAATTTCCATCAGGTGAGATGGAGGTCAAATGCGCACTTATTATTTAAAAAAAATGTGTATAAGGTATTCACATGAATGTCTCAGTATTGTTTGTGTTCCCTAAATCAGACAAAAATATTTTTTTTTTATTTCTACTTATCTACAGGAAAGTACGTGGTAGCAGTAACAATAGTGTTTACATTTGGAATCTCACAAGGAGCTTTCCCCAGCCGCGAACTTCTTAAAAAGTCCATTAATGTCGGTGAGATAATACTGTTTATTAAGAATTTAAATCCTTTTAGTTTAGTTCAGTTAGTGACGAATAAAAATTTCTGAATGTATTATACAAAGACAGTGGAATTTTATTTCCATTAACGTTTCATTTTAATTTTTTTTTATTACCGTCTTTTCTTCATTATTTTCTTTTTCTAACATCATTGTGAACAGGGGCAATATTTCCGTCAAACACGGTAACCGAGGTGGCCTTTGCATCAGCTTTGCAACGAGCTTCAATGGAGAGCGAGAAATATCGCTTCGTCTTGAAACCTGTGTACGTTCCGTATGGAGATAGCTATGCAGCTTCAAAAGCCGGTGAGTAGCTTTCAACAGTAAGTTATCTACAACTTAACCCTGAGGCCCCGTGTACATCAAAATGTACAAGCTATATATACATTTTTGTTCGAATATCGCCTCCAGTGCAACGGAACGATGAACGATCGTCAGTGAGTAGCATAATATGCTGCCGTCTGTACATAATATGTGAAGTGATTCAGACGCAGACAATATTATTCCTATGATCACGTATCGCCCTGTGTACAAATGAAATTGCATTCGAAAGTCGCATTACAAATTTTGCGCTATTCTCTGATCTATAATATGATCGTAGGGTCTGCATATAAATCTATAAAAATATGTTTTCCATATAAAGCAAAGGGAAAGAAAGAAAGAAAGAAAGAGGGCCGGGAGAAATATTTGTATATGCCTACATTTATTTCTTTCATGAGTTTGGGTGTAATTTGTGGTTGTCCATGGCACCCGCGATACAGGGTTTCCCTAGTGCGGAGCTATGTTGAGTGTGCGTTAGTAAAAAAATAAAATAAAATAATTACAACATGTTAACTTAATTAGTTTAGAAAAATAAAATTCCATATGCCTACAGCGTTTTCAAAAAGTTCACTCTGTCTTCATGTATTTTATGTTTCTCGGTGCGTTATATAAAATTTCTCCAGGCGTATTTTGCATTATTAAAATGTGCTCTCTGAGTTTATTTCGGATTGTAGTATAAAGGACAGACTTAGTTGTGCCTGGAGCATGTAATTACTTTTATTTATGATATCAAGTGACAGAACGTACAAGTCGTGCGTCTGATGTTTAGCGTCACGCCTGTCCATAGCAATAGCAGTGCCACTCAGAGCTTTAAATCGCAAAGATCTGAGAGACACTGCCACTGCGCCTGTCACCCTGAGACATAAGTTGACAAGTTCCATATGCCTGTAATTTCACCAGCACCCTTAAAACCGAAACACAGTAATGCTCACATTACTGCTTGGCGGCAGAAATAGGTAAGGTGGCAGTACTACCCTGGACGAACTTTTTCACAAGAAGCTCTACTGCTTAGTTGCAGTAGAGCCGCCAAGCAGTAATGTGAGCATTAGTTACTGTGTTTCGGTTTTGACGGGTAATAGTGCTGGTAAAATTACAGGTACAGGGGACTTGTCAACTTAAGCCTCAGTGTGACTGGCGCAGTGGCAGTGCAACTGCAACTGTTAGCCCACGACTTGTTTGTCCCGTCCTTGGTCTCATATAAAAAACTAAGGGCAGACCTGGTTGGGCCTGGACATTTAATCACTTTTTTACGATTTCAAGTGACAGGACATACAAGTCGTGCGCCTGATGTTGACCGACATGTCCATAGCAATTACATTGCCACTCAGAGCTTTAAATCGCATGGATCTGTGTGACACTGCCACTGCGCCTGTCAATATTAATGTACATTGAGCATTTAGCACTTTTCCTATTGTAGTTTGTTAAGTCTTTGGATGTAAAATTTTCACTACTGAGCACGGGTACAGAAAAGAGATAAGGCCGGATATTCCACCACACCACTAGACAACTGGGGACAAGTTAAGATAAATTTTTGAAAACCTTTTTCGATTTCTTCGCGTTATTTTTCTACACCAATAAACGACGCCATAATTAGTAGTACTTAATAATGCAAATTAAATCAGCACTCACACTGACATTGCCTGTTGAGAGATCAAGTTTCCTCTAAATAATATTTCAATAAAAAACAAATTAACTGAGTAAATTGGTAATTTGTTTGAATTTTTGTTTAGGACTAGTGAGTTCTTACCGTACTATTTACCTCAGCAGCTTGATTTTGAGTGCCTCTCCCGATCGGAAACTGTGTCTTTTTCCAGTTCCAGCTGGACTCCCTGTGCCAATGATTTAAGTTGCACACATAGACCTTTAAATTTTTATAGAGTTTACTTCGGTCGCCCCTATCTACCCTTGTCCTCCCGGTCTGTCATAAGCAGAAACCATTCCAATTTGGTGAAAAATACGAACATTTTTGAAGTTCATTGCACTCTCCCATATTTTCGCGAAAAAGGAATACGGGCGATAGCCTTCCCTTTTCGGTCCGTTACAATATTACAAATATTTTCGGTGATGACTACGTCTCCCTTATTGGTTAAATTCTTCTCTATTCAGTTGTAGTGGCATTTATTTAACCTTTGAAATCAATTAAACCAATTCATTTATCTACGGAAGTACTGGAAGGAAGCACCGGTAATCTCATAGTTTTATATTTTCCTTCATATCGTAACAACATTAAATTGAAATTAGGCTTTCATAATAGTAATAACCCGTGGTAGCCTAATGGTTTGACCTACCGTCTCTCAAGCAAAGGCTGTGGATTCGAATCCGGGCTCGCATCTTTTGAGTTTTTTCGGAATTTATGTGCGAAATTTAATTTTAAATTTACCATGAGCTAGCTCTTTGGTGAAAAAAAAATATTTTCGAGATTAAACCTGCATGTGAAAAAAGGTTCACAACCCTCATTGGGCAAGCGTGGCGGTCTATGACCTAAAAGCGATGATTGATGATGATGAGGCTTTTCACACGCTGATAGTTTTGTACGACTCTCGCGTCGATATTCGAATTACAAACTGCTCTTGTTGCGACTAAGTGCTCTTATTTCTTTTCTTTACAGCCTGTGAATTGTTAGGCAGTGGCGTGATCGCAATATTTGGACCGACGGACCGAATTTCAGCAGCCGCGGTCGAAGCTCGATGCAGAGCCGCTAAAGTACCTCACATACAGGCAAGACTTACATAAGTCGAAGCAATACCACTTAAACACAATATATTTAACAGCCACTATAGCATTAAGAACTGCTCAAGAAAAGCAGAGAATTTACCGTATTCAGATCACGTACCAGCTACAGTAAATATTCCCTGTGTTCCTTTAACTACGAGAGATGAAATTTTCAACGAAATAAGATACATGATATTTAGTCTTTAAAGCTTTCAGTTCCTCTAATTACTTTGCGAAATGGTTATGAAAAAGCTAACGAACCGTTCTCGCATTCGCAAAGATATAACATACCTACGTCATATAAAATATTATGACGTCGCATAATTTAGCTACCATAATTACATAACGCAGAAAGGTCTGTAATTAAGGGGGAACCAATTAGTATAACAATGACGTATACAGTATACACGCTTACTTATAGTAATGACTATCTTCCAGCATGATAATTATTATTAAACACAAATGTGCATAAACAAGAATTCACCGTGTGGTTTCAAGTAACGTTAAGTTACACTCGTACGATATACAATTGCATATCTGTCCGTATCACGTCTCATAGAAAGCGACCAAATATTAAATCAAGGTTAACGACCTTCACATGTCCCTTACATTGTTGCAAATGTCATTGCCATTATTTAAAAACGATGCGAATAGCGATTAGAATCTTAGGGTCGTATTCCAGAACTCTACTCAATGCTCAAGTCAGGATTTGAGTACGGTTTAAAGCACTCGAAATCATACTCAAGTCCTTGCCATTAGGGTCGTATTTCCAGTGCTTGAAACCATACTTAGATTCTGACTTGAGCATTGAGTAGAGTTCTGGAATACAACACTAAGGGTCGTATTCTAGAACTCTTTTCAATGCTCAAGTCAGGATTGCACTGGAAACACAAGCACTGGAAATACAACTCTAATGGCAGAGACTTGAGTACGATATCAAGTACTTTAAACCATACTCAAATCCTGACTTGAGCATTGAATAGAGTTCTAGAATACGACTCTTAATGTTTTGGGGAGTCTTTCGTACAATGTAGGTTATCTAAATACTTCAAGATTTCATATTAATATAAACAAGATATAAATAGTTCTGTTGTTATCTGTGTCATTAAGTTTCGAAACTATTGTGCAATGTCAAAGTAGGTTTATTATAGCTGATACTTACTACATTTCTTTCTAATTTCAGGCAACATGGCGACCTTCGCCGGAACGTGGAATTGAAAAACCGATTCCAGCAGGCGCCAATGTGTACCCTGACTCGACAGCATTCGCTTTTTTCATGTCACGTTTTGTAAAGGACAGCGATTGGATTGCCTATGCTCTTTTGTATGACGAAGATGAGGGTGAATTATTTTTATTTTCCTACATTTATCCACCGTGTTTCTGAAAATAGGGGAACAATTCTTTCAAGGCTACCCTTCTAGAAATTACTACTTTTCAAATATGGTATTACTAAGTGTATTTACCACATATGTGTGATAAGTTAGAGCCGCTCAGGTCTGCGGATTCTTCATAATATTACATACAATACAATAGATTCATATTATTTACAAATTTTGTCTATCTTGATTAGCATGTTTTTGCTAATTAACAATACCTTTGAAAGGTCTCTTAAGACTTCAAGAGATATTAAAACATGCCGACCCAGAGCACAAATGGACATTACGAAGACTTACGCCTGGGGAAGATAATCGACCATTGTTCAAAGACCTCAAGAACGACACACGAATGACTAAAGTCATCATAGACTGTGCTGCTAGCAGGGTGCTGGAGTACCTCCGGCAAGCGAAAGAAGTTAATTACTTTGAAGACTATATGGTAAATATTCTGAATTTCTTCAAAAGTAAGTATATTCTGAAATTTGTCAAAATGTCTTTCAACTATATTAACATTTAACTTTTACTTTAATAGGTTAGAAGTAATTCGCTCACGCGATGCGCTCTTCCTACCGCAAAATGGCGACTATTTGGTTTTGCAAATGAAAAGCATTCAGATTAAATACAAGTTTTATAAATGAAAATTATTATTCTGCATTGCTAAATAAATACCCTCCGTACTACCAACAAAAACATCTCAAATAAAATGCAGTAATACACCGCAAATCCTGCACTTAAAAAGCACTAATGAAATTTTTGGTGTACTTGGATAAATATGATAATATTACGTTTGAGTGGTTCTAACGTTTACCATGAAATTACTCTTTAAAGTATAGTTTATAAACATTTATATTCAGGGTAAACTTAAAAAACGCTACTTACGGTATGTTTTCAATAAATAAACACCGAAATCACCAGCCCAAACAATAACACACACGATTGTCGTGACGCATTTTTGAAGTTGTTTATTTTTTTCAATTGACAGATCCAGGCATTAAAAACTTTATGGTTTGCTAGAGTAGTTACCGAAATAGCAATTAATATTAGTTCTTTTACATGTTATAACTTCGATATCCGATAAATCGGTATAAAATCATCATACCTCTAGGTGTGGTATGCTTCCAGAGAAGCATGAATCGCGTGAGCGGTTATTAAACATTTAATGTGTGTTAAGTTTACTCGTACTTGATATTAATATTCGGTGGCGTAACGGTTTATATTGTGGGCGCTGAATGCGGAATGAGGTAGGACCTTTTCATTTGGTAAATGAGCTTTTCTAAATTGGTTCTAGTCTGAATGTTCTGCAAAAGTCCCCAGAATTCCGTTGCTATGGTACTCATAGTACAGGGAATTGTCTAAGACCAGGCAAATAGTGTGGTTGCCGGGCACATATTATTATTTTGGATATCTATTTTAGACTCTCGCCTCTCCCATAGCCTAAAAGATTAATTTTAAATTTAACATTAACACTATCACGAATAGATGAAGGTATTTTTTGGCAGATAGTTCTAAAATAAATAAAAAAAATTAAATAAAAAGGCAATTATTTATCCACAACACACATAAACAAATATAACCGAACGATTAAAACAAAACAAAAGTTTATATTAAGTTACAATAACACATATTGCTTGCGAACAAAAAGGGACCAATATTTACAGAGCTACGTTTTATCATCCATGGACGTACCGTCACTAGATTTAAAAGAGTTGACGCATGGTCTTTCAAATGTAACGTGTTTCCGGATCTTCGATCATGAGGATTCACGCTCCAGATCTTATCTTGCCGATTGGAAAGTTAGAGGAACCCCAGAAGTTAATATTCCACATACACCTCAAGAAATTTCTGTAAGTACATATCTACTAAGAAGATTATAATAAGTATACATAAAAAAAACAACACCATTCACCTTAAACAGTAATACATTAAATTGCCATGTGCATATATAAATAATAACAAGTATTGAGTCACGGCGAGCCATTTCATGAAATTTCCAAGATGCGACAATCATGGACTACAGCGCAATATGTGCATTTATACTACGTTTTTACAAAATCGCTTTTATTTCTCAGTAATTTCAACGCAACGGTCAATTGTAATTTTGAAAATAAAATAATTTTACTAGCTGATGTTATTCTGCATTATATCTATGTATACAACGCAATTGCACACGCACATTGTTGTTGTAGTAGGTTGAAGTAAATATAGCAATACAAAACTGTGTGGTAGCAGCACACAGTCAAGTAAACGATTACTTATCATGCATACTAGCAATACTACATGGACTCATATGACAGATAACTGGTCGATCTGTATGTACCTGATTGGAAGCAAAATACAAAACCCAGTAATATTCTCGACCTTATAATAATATCATGAATTAACAATCACACAGGTAGAAGCAGCCTTAGCTAGTGACGCAGCCAGATTAATAACAGACGCGGTAGAAAGTGCTCCTGATGAATTTCAAATAGAAGCAAAGACGTTAGAATGTGGTACCGAAGACCAATGGGAAATTGGTGAAGAGTTTCTTAACCATATTTTAACAGTAAGTAATTGTAATAAAAGAAACACATGTAACAAAAACAAATAAAATCAAATAAATAATAATACGCTAAAAATATTTTTATTTTCCATATATATTTCCGCCTAACCACGCACATTTTATATGAGGAAATAATTTCCTAAATAATAGGGGTTAAAGTATGAAATTGCCGATTTGTACTGAAAATCTAAATTGTTTATTTTTTAAATTTTTAACAAATTTATTTAATCAAAATAGTTGCCATTATTATCTATACATTGCTGCCATCTAATGGGAAGGTTATTAATGCCTTTGCGATAGAACTCCGACGATCTAGACTGCACAAACTGTGTGAAAGCATTTTGTACTGCCTCCTGGGAAGAAAACTTCTTGTCACGTAGATAATTGTCCAAATCACGAAAAAAAATGGTAGTCCGTTGGAGCAAGGTCTGGTGAATACGGAGGATGACGAATGGTTTCTAACTGCAGTTCCTGAAGAGTCAAAATGGTTTCTCGTGCTGTGTGAGGTCTCGCGTTGTCGTGGAGCAATAATGGTGAAGATCGATTCATGAGTCGGGGCTGTTTTACTGCTAGTTTTGTCAACATAAATAGACATCTGCCGTTATTGCTTGACCAGATCGGAGAAAACTATAGTGAATAACACCATGCTGAGACCACCAAACAGTTACCATTACCTTTTTATTGGTAAGTTTTGCTTTAGGACACTGTTGTGGCATTTGACCTGGGGTCAGCCATTGCATTTTTCTTTTCCGGTTATCATAAAGAATCCACTTTTCATCACATGTTACAATTCGATCCAATATTCCTTCATTTCTGTACCGGTTCAATAAGGCAACACAAGTTTCAACACGCGTTTCTTTCTGCAGATCAGTCAAATCATGAGGCACCCATTTTTCGTATTTTTTTATTTTATTGATTTGACGCAAGTGAGTCAATATTGTGGGTAAGGTAACGTTAAACCATGACGCTAATTCCTGGGTAGTTTGACTAGGATCGGCTTCCACTATCTCTCTTAATTCATCGTTATTCACCTGTGTGGGTCTTCCTCGTGACTCGTTCTTTAAGTCGAAATTTCCATCACGAAAGCGTTTAAACCAAAATCGCACGGTGCGTTCATTAGTAGACCCCTCTCCAAACGCAGCATTGATATTGCTGTCTGTTTCTGCCGCGTTAGTTCCGCGTCGGAACTCGTATTTAAAATTCACTCGAATTTTCGCAGTATCCATCTTTCTTGTCTAAATTGTATAACAAAAACAATTGAAAGTCGATATTCAAATGTTTCAAATAAAAAAAAAAAATCACAGAAACCATTTGAAAAAAGTTTCATTCGAAAACCTCAAACCATGAAGATTCTATGAAAATTCAAAGAACCTATTGCAATAAAACGGCAATTTCATACTTTAACCCCTAATATTTATATTGTAAGTAGATACTTTTATTTTCTCCTAATTATTTCAGAATCCCATAACGGGCATCACAGGCAATATTCAGTTCGACAACACTACTGGCGAAAGAACTAATTTTGATGTTACTATAATGGAATTATCTTCTTTTGGATTCAACAGAATATCACAATGGAATCCGGAATCTGACTTTATAAATTTAAGGTCTGAACACGAAGTCGCTGATATAAGAAAAGAAAAATGGCAAAATAAGACCTTTAAAATAGTAACCCGTATTGGACCACCGTTTCTTGTTATGGCGAAACCAAAAGAAGAAGGCGTAGAGTTAACTGGAAATGACCGATATGAAGGTTATTCAAAAGACTTAATTCATGAATTACTAAAAGAAACTTTAAATTTAAATTATGAACTAGTTATTGTACCAGGAAATGCCTACGGTTCTTATAATAAAGAAACGAAACAATGGGATGGACTCATTGGTTATCTTATAGATCGAGTGTGTATCTATGAAATGAATATAAATATAGAATATCAGTGAAACTAATAAACCTTAATAAATCCTTACAAAATTCCAGAAAGCAGACTTAGCAATTTGCGATTTAACTATCACCTATGAAAGGAGATCAGCTGTGGATTTTACGACGCCTTTTATGACACTCGGAATCAGCATTTTATATCTGAAGGCAACAGCCCCTGAGCCTGAGCTCTTTTCTTTTCTAAATCCATTTTCTGTGGATGTTTGGATATATATGGCTGCTGCCTATTTGGCTGTTTCTGTATTTCTTCATGTATTGGCCAGGTGCATTTATATATAGTTCTTAATTAATATTTTCCAAAAAAAAATAGTACAATTTTAATAACTATAATCTAATCACTATTTTCTAATTTTGTAATGTAGTTTCAGCGACCTTATTTCTATTACAGATTAGCTCCAAATGACTGGGAAAATCCACACCCATGTGACAAGTCTCCAGAAGAACTAGAAAATATCTGGCATGTCAAAAATTCATGCTGGCTCACTATGGGATCTATCATGACACAAGGATCTGATATTCTTCCAAAGTAAGATGTAAAGCCATTAAAATCTCTTATGTTAAATTAAAATAATGTAAATGACTTTATCCGTAAATTACCATAGATGTTTTAATTTCCAAGGGGTTATTCAACTCGTTGGATTTGCGGTATGTGGTGGTTTTTTGCTCTCATTATGTGCTCTTCCTACACTGCAAACCTCGCTGCCTTTCTCACAAAAACTGCCATGGAGGTAACCATTAAAGATGTCGAAGAACTAGCTGGACAAACTAAGGTCAAATATGGGACTCTAGCCAAAGGTTCTACGTACTCTTTTTTCAAGGTTAGATATCGAAATTCATAACATTTTATAGTAATGGTCCCTTACAAAACTTATGTTGTTGTTGTTATTAGTAAACTTTTGTTTGCTCTGTTTAGCGTTCAAACGTTTCGACATACCAAAAAATGTGGGCCGCCATTGAATCAGCCAGACCTCCAGTATTTGTCAAAAGTAATGACGAAGGTGTAGATAGAGTACGAAAGAGCAAACGAGGATACGCATTCATGATGGAGTCTACTACTATTGAATATTATATGGCAAGATATTGTGATTTAATGCAAATTGGAGGGTTGCTAGACTCGAAAGGATATGGAATAGCGATGCCATTTGGTAAATATACCATTGCGATAATTTATTATTATTATCTGTGTGTACAAAAATCCTTCCTCATGTTCATCTCTTTTTTGAATAAGTTAATTGTTTATTTATTGTTATGAAGTACATAAAAAGCATAACCACAAGGTAAATATTAGGAGTTAGAAACGACAGGCATAAGAGGAATCATAATAGGCAAATCGTCAACAATGCGTCGTTGTCTCCAAAATAATGAATTAATGGAATTAAATCATTACAGGTGTTCCATAGGGAAGTGTAATAGGACCAATACAGATTCTGCCTATTATCAGGGATGGGAATAGGTAGATTTTTTTTACCTAAACTTTGAGGAGCATATGTAGATAGAAAGTGGAGACTGCCTTACGACAATATTGTTTAGGTCTGGACCTGTTCGGGATTCGGGAAATAACGTAAGAACATTAAAAATTGACGTAATTGGGGACAACCAGGTACACTATATTTATTTTATTTTTGTGACACAGTGGGTCGGATCAGCGATATTGCGGACATTGAAATATTTTATATAGCAAATACTTTATATAGCACGATATTTGGTTTAATTAAAAATTAATTTGATAATATATTTAAATCGAAAACATTAACTTTCCATAGAGAGACTAAATTCAACGACTGGGCAACAGTAGGTATTCATAAGAGTAGGTCTCGTTTGTATGAGCTATATGCTATGAAAACTTATAATACTAATTCCAATTTCATAGAATATGTTAGAATTTATTCAAAAATATTTAAAAAAGTATGTGTAGCTGCTAAGGTTAAGTTTCACAGCGACAAAATTAGACAATCGATAAATAAATCTAAAACTACTTGGAGCATAATAAACAAAGAGTCAGGCAGGGTTAAACAACACGATAGAGATGTAGTTTTAGAATTAGACAGTAAACTTATAAAATCTAAAGATAAAGTAGCCCAAGCTTTTGAATCGTTCTTTTCGGAAATTGCTGTGAACACTACAGAATCATTAAATTCCTCCCCTTCACTTGCTATTGATCTCCTAAAGGAAAATGTTAACGTTTGTGGCAGTTTATTTAATTTCCGTTATGTTAATCCACAAGACATCATAAAAGCTTTTAAATCAATACATGTTAAAAAAACTGAAGGTCTCTGGGGCATATCAACTAAAGTTATAGACTCAGTTATTGATCTTATTTCCCCACATTTAGCTGTAGCTTTCAATAGGTGCGTTGATGAAGGTGTTTTTCCCGATTTAATGAAATACAACAAGGTTATTCCCTTATTCAAAAGCGGTAGTAAAGTTGATCCTAGCAACTATAGGCCCATTTCAATTTTACCAGCTTTAAATAAAATATTCGAAAAGGTTATGCTGACTCAATTACTGTCCTATTTCGGTAGGAATCATATTTTTCATAGTGAACAATACGAGTTTACTAGTGGTAGATCGACTAGCGATGCGGGGGTAGCGTTACTAAAACACATCTTTGATGCCTGGGAAAGGTCCCAGAACGCTATTGGTATTTTCTGTGACCTCTCAAAGGCATTTGATTGCGTTGATCATATTACTCTTATTAGTAAGCTGTAACATTACGGTGTAAATGGCAAGGCGTCGAAACTTGTCTCGTCATATCTCAACGGTAGAATTCAGAAAGTAGACATAAATGGTGTGACTTCTTTGGGTTCTCCGGTAAAAATGGGCATTCCACAGGGCTCAATACTTGGGCCTTTCTTATTTCTGATTTATATTAATGATCTGCCATTCTTTGTTAAGGACCATTGCGAAATAGTGTTGCTTGCTGATGACACATCCTTGTGTTTTAAAACAGACAGACATGACATTAACTATGACCATATTAATGATACCATCTCTAAGGTAGTTTATTGGTTTAATGCTAACAATTTATTGCTTAACGCCAAGAAGACAAAATGTGTTAAATTTGAATTACCTAACGTAAAATCGACTAGTCCAGGCATAGAAATAAACGGAGAAAAGTTAGACTTTTTTAATAAAGCAGTCTTCTTGGGAGTGACCTTAGATAGTAAACTTCAATGGTTTCCACATATATCTTCCCTGGCCAGCAGGTTAAGCTCCGCTGCATACGCAGTCCGCAGAATACGTGAGCTTACCGATGTTAGTACTGCTAGACTAGTTTACTTTAGTTACTTCCATAGTATAATGTCCTACGGGATTCTCATGTGGGGTAAAGCGGCAGATATTCAAACCATATTTGTATTGCAAAAACGAGCGATTCGTTCTGTGTACCGTCTAGGTTCTCGGGTATCTCTCAGAGAAAAGTTTAAGGAGACTGGTATCATGACTGTGGCATCACAGTACATTTACTCAAATATTTTATATGCTCGTAAAAATATACAAAATTTCAATAAGAAAGAAGATATCCATAATATTAACCTTAGAGCTAAGTCCAAACTCATGGTACGATTTCGTTTAACAAAGGTACCCAACTCTTTTATGGGGAACAGTATACGTTTTTACAATAAGATTCCGGAGCATATATTAAGTTTATCATTTCCTAAGTATAAAAAGTACATTAAAAATATTTTGATCGAAAAATCATATTACAAAATTGAAGACTACGTGTTAGATAAAGGTGTATGGAAAGACGACATGGCTCCAGAATCCACACAAATTTGATTCAAAGTGTATTCCATAGCATTTAAGTTTATTTGAAAAGAGCAATCCCTAGAGTTTCTTGCTCGTTCTTCTCAGAGAGGTCAGCGTAGTGAACGAGCAGTAGCTTAAATGTGACGATTTCAAGTGTAAATTTATTTTACCTATGGAATAAATAATCTTTGACTTTGACATTGGAGTTTTTTCACGATACCTCACTAAAAAAATTCCAGTCGAGAGATCTTATTGTCCTAATTAAATATTTTCGTATCACATTTTGCCATAAATGTAATAGTTTAGTAGAAAAAATATATAATGTGTGTTTTTGTATGGGACCATACCTTTAGTGCCCCATCGTTACAAAGTTTTGGTCGATCCAGTGGTAGAATGACCACAGACGTAATATCCTAAAACCTATCTTCTATAGATTTGCACACTAAACGCGCGCCCGAACCGGCCTATTCACTACTTATACGCGTCAGAAAATGTGCAATATAAATAGTAAATAGGCAGGTTTGGGCGCGCGTTTAGTATAATAGAATTAATATTTTTGTCTTAGTATTTAGTTATTGCGACTCAATTCCTTTCGCATAAACCCATTAAAGGGTTTTTGAAAGGAAAATCTAAATGTACATATGTGTTTAATTGTAAATTGAATAATAAATTTAAAAAAAAAAGAAAACATCCAATGTCCGGAATATCACAGACCCGACCCACTGTGCGTCGCAAATTTAAGATAAATATAGTGTACCTGCCTGTCCCGAATTACGTCATTTTTAATGTTCTTAAGTGATTTCCCGAATTCCGAAAAGTTTCAGGACTTAAAAAAATATTGTCGTAAGGCAGTCTCCATTTTCTGTCTATGTTCCTCGAAGTTTAGGCAAAAAAATCTACGTATTCCGATCCCTGATTATTGTTGACAAAACAAAACATCAATGTATATTATTTGCTTCATATATTCACCTCTTATCGTAAGTTCTAGTAGAACGAAAACAACAATTAGAGGTCATGAAATGGACCTAAATAATACAAATAAAAATAATTAATTGGTTACGATCTGAATAACAACTTAAGTAAATCTTAATAAGTCGAGACATAATAAATATAATTTTAATTTAAATATCGAAATCGTAATTCAGGAAATGTAGCAGTAGAGCTCCATGTGAAATAGTACGTCCAGTAAAGTAGTGCCACCTTACCTATTCCTGCTACCAAGCAGTAATGTCAGCATTACTGTGTTCCGGTTTTGAAGGGTACGGGTACTGGTGAAATTATGGGCTCATGGGACTTACGTCTCAGGGTCACATGCGCAGTGATTGTGATTGTGATTTAAAGCTCTGAGTGGTAACTGTTATAGACAGGCGTGTAGCTACCATCAGGCGCACGGCTTGTTCGTCGCGTCACTTGATATTATAAAAAAAGTGTCTCAAACAAAATGTCTTGGAATAACCATAGACAAAGAACTAAACTGGAAAACTCACGTCAAGAATCATCAAGTTAATTGTTCAACATAACAAATAAAAAAGCTGTCCTAACCATTTACAAGGCGCATGTAGAGTCCATACTATGTTATAGTATGGGGTAATAGAACAGATCGAATCAGAGTTTTTGTACTACAGAAGAAATGCATGAGAACAATTGCTGGAATTCCACCGGATGAAACATGCAAACCCTTCTTTCAGAGCCTTGATCTATTGCCACTACCATTCTTATATATTCATATACGAAATTTGTATCTTTATATGGAAACACTCATATTTGTTTAAAAAAACCAATGATGTGAATACTAGATTCTACAAAAACCGGAATAGACTTGTACTTGACAATATTCCTAATATAATTGATAGATACAGCAAAAGTTGTTTAAAAAGTACCACTCGTGATTAATTTATTAGACTAACCTGTTTATTTAAAACGAACTTGTACTTGTGGACATAAACGAAATATTTGACAGAAAATAAGATTTAAAATTTCAACTCGATGTTTATCATTCTCGACATGTTTAATTTTGTAACTTGTAATATTCTTATAGTTGTGGTAGTCAGTTGACATTGTAAGTACAACTAGACATTTGCAAGCTATTTAATTTATGTGAAACCTGTTTGTACTGGCACTGTTCCTTGTTACATTTTCTGGTACCATGTTTTAAGCAATTAATAACTACCTATCTCTAACATTAAACATCAAATGAAGGTTAATTAGACGATTTGGTCATCCAAATCAGTGTTTGTGATTCAAATCAATCTTGCAGATTCCCCTTATCGCACAGATGTGGACAACGCGTTACTAAAGTTAGCTGAAAGTGGCAAACTAATAGAACTTAAAAACCGTTGGTGGACAAACCCTGATGGAGATTCATGCACAGTAAGTAATTACTCAAAGAAAATTACCTTCCGGTGACAAAGAAGATTTACTTACACATAGGCGCGTAAGAGAACATGTCAGTGTTATTTGTTTTCTTTTCGGATTACTTACTGTATTCAACTGCCTCTGTGGCCGAACGGTTACCATGCCGGACTGCCACGCAGAGGTTCCAGGTTCGATTCCCGGGCCGGGAGAAATATTTGTATGGCCTACATTTATTTCTCTCGTGAGTTTGGGTGTAATTTGTGGTTGTCTATGTGTGTGTCCATGGCACCCGCGACACAGGGTTTCCCTAGTGCGGGGCTATGTTGAGTGTGTGCGTTATTATTATTATTATTATTATTATTATTATTATTTATTTCTGTTTGTAATAAAGTGTATTATATTCTTCTGGGAAATGAAACTGTTTTTCCGGATTTAAATCGCGTAACCTAAGAATATAATTATATTATATTCTGTGCATTTTTAAGGAAGAAGGAGGTGGAGACGACGACTCCAGTGGCGGGGAGCTTGGAGTGGAAAATGTTGGTGGTGTATTTGTTGTACTGGGCATAGGGTGTGGTGTAGCCGCGGGGATGGGTATCTTTGAATTTCTCTGGAATGTTCGAGAAGTTGCTATTGAACAAAAGGTATGACCAATTTTTCAAAAACTTGTATACAAAACCGATATCAACCGCAAGTTAACATACAACTAAACATTTTAACATTAATATGAATTATATTTCATTGTGTACAACCACAACATTTTTCAGATGACTCCTACCGAAGCCTTTTGGGCAGAACTAACATTTGCCCTGAGTTTTTGGGAGACCAAAAAACCTGTTCAACACTCTAGGAGTCCCTCGGTTGCATCAGGTTCCAACAACGCATCCAGAGCATCATCTGTGCTCCGATCAGCTGCTGACTTGTTTCAAAATGTTTTTAAGAAATAGTCGAAATAAAAATTCTTTAAGGAAACATTTAATTACACTTCCAACAAATGCAAAAATCTATATTTAACTCATTATCTATGGCTAATTTGGCACAGATTACAGTTACGAAAGGTACACTTGGAATTTCGTGTGATGACTCCACCCATGATGACGCTGAACTACGATCCCGTGAAATCTATATGCAATTTATGAAACAAAAAAACTTTAACGGTTTAAAAAAATTAAACTGAACAGTTTTACTATGGTAAAAAGAACAAGATATCTATCTATCTATCATAATAAAAACACATAAGTCGAGATTTATGTATTTATCTATAATCATATAAACTCAATTTGTAGGCTGTGCAGTTTCACAACATTATTTAACAGTCTTTAAAAATATACGAACAACAATTAACATTAATATTAGCAACTTTCAATGTATCAGCTTCACATACATCACTTATTTCCCTATAATTTCAAAGGTGTCGTGATTGATAGGGTTTACTAAGTCCTCCTCGATTCCAAAATGTCCATATCTAGGGATCAACACGCGATTTTTAACTGTATGTTCATGTTCGTAGTAACCTAGGGTTTGAAAGTGAACATGTCATCCTTTCGAAAGCTTAACCAACTTATAATATGATTATTGGAGTAAGCTAGTTCGAATGGTTCGAACACGTTACCTATTACGTAGGCTCATAAAAGGCACTGAGCTTGTCAATTATTTATTATGTCTTAGATAATCCATTTATTTATAATAGTTATGTAAGAAAACAGCATTTTTTTATTTATCTGGTACTTTATAATATTTCTCTATTTTTTTCTCACATTTACCCTCATTGCCTTGGCTTGCCTTGCCTGGAAGAGTCCACCTTTGCTTACCTTCTGTTCAATAAATATTTCTATTGTACTTATTTGGTGCAATAAAGAAAATGAAAGAAGGGAAATGTGTATGGGGACGGACATGGGTTTTTTTCAATATTCTACGAGGGCGCATTGATTGCCTCGATCTTCTATCTAACAATCGTAATCAAAGTGCCGAACTAGATACACGCCAGTGTTTGATGTTTTTTTCTTGCACCAAAACTACGGCTGAGTGGTGTGCTCCCGCGATTTGTGTGAGGTATTAATAAGAAATTTTTTTATTATAACCTCCACATTTCACATTCGTTTGAATGATCTAAGCGTAAGTTAATAGTCGATATGTATATTCCAATAATTCATTTTACACTTTACTTTTTCATTAATTATCTGCGTGTGTCATTATCAGTGTAACTCCTATCACTGTGTTGTATTATTTTATTTAAAGGTTACCTACTGAATTTGTTTATGATCATGTTTGTTTCTAGTTGTGAAAATCTGTCATCGGCACAAGGTAACTAAAACTGAATACAAATATTGTAACTTTTGTTATTTCTAATAAAATAAATAAATTCAAATTACTTGGGTTCGTAAGGGAAATTCATTCAGTGTTATGGGCAGAGACAACCTATATAGGAACTACCACGTCATAACACATAAGAACTGCCATATAAAAATTAGTAATCAACACAGTTTCACATCTCATTTCTACTGCTTCAACAACAATTACAGTACAAAGTACAAGTACAAAATTAAAAATGGCAGTGCACATCAAGCATTTTTACTCTAATTTATTACTAGTAAAAGATTCCGCATTTAGTATTAATTATAACATTATATAACTATAAACTAACAGGATTGTGATACAGCACATGTTTTTAGTATATTTCATCAAAATTTATGAAAGAAGATGCAGCTCTAAGTACAGATACTGCTCTGGACTGTGAGCGCTCGCGCACCGGCGTTGGTGATGGCGACGGCTGCACCGAACGAGGTGGTGCAGCTGGTTTATGAAGAGCACGTGGATCCAAAGAAGCCCGCCATTCACTTGCGATAGCTTCTTTAAACGTTACCTAAAAAGAGGCAAAAGGTAGAAAGTCTATGACATTCGTCAAAAATTACAAAAAAACGAACATCTGCAACAAGTACATAGAAAAATTCGTAAGACCTGCTGGTTCGTTCCATTGCTAAGTTGGGACCGTCAAGCACGGTATGCTGAAGGCGCTAGTTCGAATCTAACCGGATCAAAGGAATTTTTCTTAGTGTTCGATCTTTGCATTTATAATAATTATGACAAACTAGTGAAGTCATTCCACAAAAAAAAATGAATGGTAGTAAAACATCGTGGATGTGCAATAAACTTAATATTACAATTTAAAAGAAGTTAACAACATGTTTAATCTGAGTTTAAAATACAACAGGAGTTGTTTCTTTAATCACTCTGTTTACGTATTCAACCGACTTCAAAAAAAAGGAGGAGGTTCTCAATTCGACTGCGTTTTTTTTTGTATGTACTTATGTTACGTAATAACTCTTTTTTTATGATGATGTAAATAAAAATTTCTTTTCTTTTCTTTTTTGTTGGAAAGAGGATACATCAGTATTGGTCCCATTTAAATTTGAAGAAAATATTCCACCTCTAAGGGTAGCAAACTAGGGTATGAACCCGGTTTCGCGCACTTCCCGGTAACCGATTTCAATAAAACTTGACAAATAGATGTAGTTCCACGAACTTTTGAGGTCGGTTTTTTTATTACATAGCCTTTGCTGCTCAGTTTTTGAGAAACAAATTTTTACACACCTTCTCTTTTACACAAATTTCATGAGCATGCATCATAAAATCTATAATAGCCACAATGAGTCCCAGAATCGTACCCGCGCCGAGTACCAAAAATATTCCACTAATATTTTCCATTTGGAGTGACCCATCGTCTCCGCCTTGGTTATTTAATTGCTCTCTTTTCTCCTGTTAAAAAATAATTAATATAAAATATTCACTTTTACGATACCAATGTTTTAATTTATACTACATATATTTACACATAATTTAGTATATTCTACAAAAACACGTTAAAAACTTAACTGCTGGATGACAAAACTTTTATACTTAAATCGAAGAAATATAAATTTGTTATTACCTTACAATGCTCTTCGTTATCATTTTCCACCCACCATGTATTTTCTAAAGTAGTTAAGTCTCCTGCTTCTTGAAGATGCAATATTGCTACGTCAACTAGACCTTTATACTGAAAATCTAAAGTAAAATATTAAAGTCAGTCAATAACTCAACTCAACTCAATAACTTAAATTTAAAAACTATATTAGTTACATAATTATGTCAATCCGCGATGTAGGCTTCGTCAGGAAGACACAAATATAAATCAGCAACAGGCTTCGTCACATAAAAATTAACAAGCAATTCGCCAGACTTGGCCATTTTTATCCAACTAGTACAATGAAACAGGACCGCTCTGAATCTTAGCTGGTTCAAACGTCCCCACAACACTAGCAGCATTACTGCGCTGAATAGCCAACGAAATTTGTTGCACCAAGCAAGATCCAGAGCGTGGATCTTAGCCTCTTTCTCTAAGCCGACGAACCAACACCCTGATGAATTCTTTGGCCTCCACACCCCAAGTCCCCGCAGTCTCCACTGCAATTGACACATAAAACGTACATCGATTCCAAGGCACTGTACTTGGCATGTTTTAATTTTGCCGCATACTCTGCAGCTGACCGCATACTCGGCAGATCTGGTGGTGTGACTCAGGTGGGACGGTGCAAATGACACACGTAGCGTCTCACAAAAGGCACCAGTCCTACTGCCATGGAACCAGTGTAAGGCCGTCAGGTCTCTAACCATGTGTACGGCACAGCTCCGGAGGCTCCAAGACACAAAACACGTTAGGCAATACCAAAGCCCGGTGAACTACATCATTTATTACCATTTATTGCATGATGTCTTGAAAACCTAAGTCTGAGTGTAAACTAAGACTGTGGTGGCCGTTTTCCTCAACCATGACCCCACAAATGCAGTGATGCGGTTCACAAACCTTACATCCCAACCGTAAAGCAACGGCAATACCCAACGAATCATTATTATTATTACAATTTTAAAGTTTTGGGTAAACATTACAATTGGTCAAATTAAGTAATAATTGTGCATTTTCCAAATTTTAATATTTAAATTTTCTGTTCATATCTCAGAATTCAATGTAATCATACTAACATACTTCTAAGGTTTTCTTTTGTAACTAACACCATTATCTTATGGGCTATGGCCTGAAATAAATGGTTTATTATTATTATTATTATCTAGCAGAGTGCCTAAATGGAGAGAAGGCAATGCCTGCAACCACACTCCTGATTCAGGCTTAGTTAGTTAGTTAGACGCGCCGTGTTAACATCCAATGCCTCGTCCAACAATAATGAACTAACCTTTCCACACAAAATGACGTCCCATCCCCTCTGGACGACGACATTATCACCCGGACAAATAATGGCCCACCTGGTAAGGGCCTCAGCAACAAAAGGTATCCGGGTATGTCACCATTAGCGCATAAGATACGAGTGACTAGTCCCAAAGACCCATGAGCCGAGGCCAAGAACACTAACACACCGATCTCTTGACACTGACGTACTCCCAATCCACCGTGACGAATTGGGAGAGCAGCCTGACACCACTTGATTGATTTATGCGTTTATTTAATTCAACTGAAATTTAAATTGAAACTTACTTTTAGGCATAGCAATTCCATATTCTTTAGCATCTAGCTGGTGTCCAACCATTTTGAGCTGACATTCTCGTTCAGCATAATATCTAATCGCGGTAGATTCCATGAAAAAGGCATAATTCCCTTTGCTTCTGAGTACGCGGTCTTTACCCTCGTCATTGTTCTTAGTAAATACTGACGGCCTTGTCGATATCATGGTAGTCCAAAGCTTTTGATATAGCGTATCGTTGGAATTCTAAAAATACAATCCAGATTGATTTTTAGATATGATAAATAATTTAATTATAAAATAACGAAAGAAAGACTGTTTGGAAATTAAAAGAGACATTTCACGAGATGCAAGATCTCACTTAACATAAATAAAATAAGAAAGTATTTATACACATACTTACCTGAAAAAACTTATAAGTAGAAGAGTTGCGTGCAGCACCATAGCTGACTTTATTTTGTTCGGCAAGCATCTTAGCATCGCGGATATCATTGCTACGACGATTATTACTGAGGAAAGCGGACATATTAGCCGTGTACGATGAAGTTACGATGAGAGAAAAAAACCACCACATGCCTGCTATCCAGCGAGACCCAAATCCTCTGAAAATATAGAATTTTCATCTTCAATTTATTTTATTCAATGACACGTGTCAAGGCATGGGACTAGGTAATGTTCAAACTCGTACATTCTAAATAGTTAATAAAAAACCAGAAAAACTGAAAATATAAAATTATTTTTTATTCCACTCTGGACGTGGATATCTAGTACAAATATTTCGATTAATTTCATACTTACCTCGGCAAAATATCACAACCTTGGGTCATAATAGCACCCATGGTAAGCCATGTGCAGTTGTACAAGCTCCAAATATTTTCCAAATGTTCGGGGTTTTGGTTACACGGATGAGGATTAACCCAATCATCTTGACTCATTCTGAAATTAGTTTCAGATAAAATAGATTTCTACTGCATTAGCGCACATATAGACGGATCATTCACTATTACATCAGGACAATCATAAGTTTAAATAACTAGGATTAGGGCCAGATTAAATAGAAAAAAATTAGGGTTCGGCGGCAGGGTATCTAAAATATTGCCTGCTTTCTAACTGCCTCGATCTTCCAATCGGTCCAGTATTTTTTTAAATATAATTGTGTACAAAATTCGCTGAGACAAACAGTGCCACTAGGTAACTTAACTTCCAGTACTTGGCTTTTCAATACTTCCGTCAGCATTTTGCACCTACTTCATCCATTATATCAGTTTAAAATACCAATATTTTTCAATAAATATCAAATCTAAAAAATAATAGATGATGAATAAAAAAGGCCGCGTAAAAATTGTGTTATTGAACAAGAATGTATAATAAAACGTGTTCTTAAACCCATGTTGTCCAAACATACCTTGCACAGATAAACAAAATAAAGGATACAACAATGTACGTAGTACCCATGTACAACCATACTTCTAAAGACAATGGCTCCAAAAAAGAAAATTTATTCGGCTCTTCTTGTTCTCGCTCTTTGAAAAGCATACCAATTCCAGTAGTCATGAACGGCGTTGAAAAGTCCACGACACTGAGGCGATCTGATGTAATGCCTAGATCACAAATTGCCATTTCAATTTGCTGAAACAAATAATTTGTGTGAATACGAAACTAATGCTTTTGTGCCTCTATTAAAAAGACTCATTCCATATTAATTTATTTATTATTCTTAAATAAGTCTTACTTAGTACATACATTCCGCTTCCACATTTATATGGCGAGCGGCTAGAGAGTGGAATTCCCTACCTGCGAACTTATTCCTTGCGCTATAACTTGGACTTTTTCCTCCAAACGCTATAACTTGGACTTTTTCACGGCGAGAGTGACTAGGCATTACTTAATTTCTTTTTATTTTTATTTAAGTTTAATTACATTAGGTGTGCATGCTACATTGTCGACCTCATCATCACTTTACATCAGGTGAGATGGAGGTCAAATTCGCGCTTATTTTTTATAAAAAAAAAATACATCATATTCAGTCCAAATTCGTGAACCTGTAAAATGCATTTTTCTAAACTTACATGATCAATCAACGCTCCCATAATATGGCTCCATCGTTTTGTTCCCTCGATGCGATCGCCGATCGCTTCATAAACAACAAATTCTGCTTTCAGTTCAATGCCTTGTTCTTTGTGTATATTTTCAAAAATAGCGTTAATAAGGTCTACTGCATAGCCACGATCTACCGTTCCACTTTCATCAGTTTTTCTTTCGAGATATGGTAATTGGTTTTTAGATCCAATCTGAAAAATTGTTTATTGCTTTTAATTTGCCTCGAACCTTGTTTACCTAATTAGAGTAATAATTTTGATTATAAATAAAGGCATATTATGTTGTCTTCATAAAATTATTAAGTTGACCCCCTTGCATATAACGATACTATAAATATATTTTGTTATATTTCTTCTGTTCGCCTGCCTCCGTGGCCGAACGGTTACCATGCCGGACTGCCACGCAGAGGTCCCAGGTTCGATTCCCGGGCCGGGAGAAATGTTTGTATGGCCTACATTTATTTCTCCCGTGAGTTTGGGTGTAATTTGTGGTTGTCTATGTGTGTGTCCATGGCACCCGCGACACAGGGTTTCCCTAGTGCGGGGCTATGTTGAGTGTGTGCGTTATTGTGTGCGTTTATTTTAGCGCATTGTTTTAATTAAATTATTGTTATTAACTTTCAATTACATGTCGTAATATAATCAAAATATTGAGATACCTTTATAATTTGCACTCCTGTAGTAGACGTGGGAATGACGGGTTTTGGTACACTGTCATCCAGCGTGATGTTATCTTTGTAAGACTCCCAGTAACCACTATATGTGAATTGTCCGCTAATAGTACGTTTGAAGTAATACAATTTCAAATTCGTTCTCTTGCCTTCGGCATCAAATTGAATATCGCCGGTAAACCCTTTTGCTGAAGTCTGAAATATATACAAGCAATCTTCAATTTGAATCTGCAGACACTTATAAATTGGAAGTCGGTGATTCAAGCATTATTTTAAGGCGACTGTGGTAGTACTCCGCCTCACATGAATCATAATATTTTTTGTAATAATTATGTAGATAATTACTTCAAATGAAGACGTACCGTCAAAAGGGTTTCTTGAAATTGTTTGCCAATTTCCCAGGTCTCATATACGTCATCAGGCTGTCTGCAAATATTAGGCGGTAATCCACCTTCCAAGTCTTCTGAGTGGTTGACCGGTATACTCCTGATCGCTTTTTCTATATGAATTAGCGCATCAGCAGCCAAAGCTGTTTCCATCTGTCATCATTAAATGTACAATCAGCAGTAGTGTCGTAGATTGAAAACTCAATCTCGGCTAACAATTCATTACTTTCAACACGGTTCCCTTCATTATACTTTCCTCGAGTTGTCACCACATAACTAACGGATTATACTTATTAGGTGTATGTATGTTATGTGATTGCCAGCGACATGATTAGGATACCATTGCAAATGACAAAATTAAAATATCTTGTTCTATGGATGGAACAAAATTGTTTGTTTTATATCAGGATAATACACACATAGTCAAAGAGTTTTAAGGTCACCAAAGTGCATGTGTTAAATGCACAATTTTTATTTTTTACACACTCATAGCCCTACACTAGGGAAACACTGTATCGCAAGGGACATGGACACACACATAGACAACCACAAATTACACCCAAAACTCACAAGAGAAATAAATGTAGGCCATACAAATATTTCCCGGCATAGGAATCCAACCCGGAACCTCTGCGTGGTAGACCAGCATGGCAACCGTTCGACCCCGGAGGCAGTATATACATATAGCCTATGTTTATAGACTCGTAAATAAATTGTAACACGATGTTCTCTACAGATTTTTCTTTCCTCGCCCTTTTTCAATTTCGCCATTGTCAAGTTATCTCTTTAATAACTTTGAAGGTTTCTACAGTAGTATTGTGGTAAAACAATCTTAGAAAGCACAAGACGTGTCAACCAACATGGTCATAGTTTTGCGAAAATAGCACCTAAAGATTCGTTGTTTATGACCGTTGTTTTTGATAGTTTATTCTAAAATTTACTTATATAATCTCAGGACAGAGTACTAAAAAACCGACCTCAAAAGTCATTCACCTAGTTTGCCACTCTTAGAGGTGGAATACTTTCTTCAAATTGAAATGGAACCACACTGAGGTACGGTCTTTTCAACAAAAAAAGAATGATCAAAATCTTTTCACAATGCCGGAGACATCGCGTAACGAAAAAAATTTGTCGAATTAAGAACTTTCTCTTCTTTTGAAGTCGGTTAAAAATGAAAACTTTTGCTGTTGTCACCTGCGGAATAATAAATTGTTGTGATTTATTTCTATATTCCCCAGCAACAATAGCGACAACAATAACAAGTACAACAGCAAAAGTTTACATTTTATAAAAAAATTATAGAATAAACTATCAAAAACAAAATTAAAATCTTTAGGCGCTATTTTCGCGAAACTATGATCTTCTTGGTTCACACATTATTGCTTATCGGCATCCACTTCTCAATGATAGTTTCAAGAAGTTAAAAGCGTATCACCTTTTCACCATCTGCAGCGTCTACGCCATAGTCGCTCCATGTTATTTTCTCCTCTTGTGACATAATGCTGAATGTTGATAAATTCGCTCTAAGATTATTGGGCATTTGTCTAAAATCCAACGTGTATGCTTCCAACGATGTAAATATGAAGCTCTGAAAAAATAGTAATTGGCTAATTAATCTATCTAATGGTTTTGATGTAAGAAAAATAAAATACCAAAAAAGATTCATCAAACGATCTTTTAATATTTTTTACGTAATTCTTCGACTTCTTGTTTTATAGTGGCTTTAAACTAAGAGCACAGCATAATATAGGATATACACATATATTGTATATCGACAATGTTTTGTAGAAAGAGTAACGACATTTACTGACTGTTTTGAAATATTTACGCCCCGTTTTAAAATTCAATTTCAAAGACTTAAACTTAATTAAAACCAAAGTATAATTTTATAACAGGACGTAAATATTTAAAAACAACTATTTTAAAACTTAAAACATGCTCCTCTGAACAATCTATGAAATGTTGCTTACGCTCTTCTACAAAACACCGACGATATGTACAGTAAAGTGTAAAGTAAGTTTTAAAAATATATTATACATATTCTTACTGAATATTGTGTCGAATTTTCAATCTGCACAACTTCGTTCATATAACCGACAATATTTTCTACCTTGCAGTCAATAATGTGGTTACTAAATTTTGCTACTTTGAAAATATATTTAAACGTTTCCCTGTTGTCTCCTTTGGGTATAAGTTTCCTGAACAATATAGGCTCTTTCTCAAATGGCCATAAATGAATCACTTGTTGAAGACGGATAAAACCTGTAAGTGTATAGGTAAGTACTACATTACTACGCACACATGAATATACTTTTTTAAGTACAACAATTAAAGACACTCTCATTTCGTTAGCAATGGGAGAATCGATTAAATAATATTAGTGCTGAATGCACAGACATAGTCACTACGATCGGCTTCTACATCGTTCGATATCGATCATCTAATGCTTATTCCATTTGCGTGTTAGGACCTTATTACAAAACGTTTTACCTATCTTCGACGACTTGTTGTAGGTATCCAATACGACTTGTATCGCCTTTTCGACTATTCTATAAATACATTTAATAACAAACATTGAGTAGGAGTAGAGCACCTTGTGAAAGTGTTCGAACAAGGAAATACTGCCACGTTACTACCTATTAATAATGTGAGTTTTACTGAGTTTCAATTTTGAAGGGTAAGGGTGCTCGTGAAATTACAGGTACATGGGACTTGTCAGCTTATGTCTCAGGGTGACGGACATAGTGGCAGTGCACCTCCGATCTTTGCGTTTTAAAGCTTTGAGTGGCACTGCAAATTTAATGGACAGGCGTGTCGCTTACTACCAGGCCCACAACTTGTTCGTCCCGTCATTTGATATTACAAAAAAAACATTATATTTCTCTCAAACATGCTAGGGAATGTTTGCATTACTTTCAAAAAACGAACACGAAAAGTTTGTCATTTATGGACCATGCGACTTCTTCCCGGTCAAAGCCCGCAAAATATGAAAATCCATTACTGTCCTCTTCTCTAAACTTTTGAATCTACCTACTTATAATGAACTATATAAACAGGCTAAACAAAAACTCATACAGCCAACTGCCCAGTATTCATAATTATTGCGACAATTAAAAATACCTCAAACCTAAAGAAAATGACGGTAACACAACAACAAAGTGTGTTAGTATTCTTTTGTTTTTTCGCATTTTGGTTGCGAAAATTAGTGCTAGTGAGAAGAGCGATACCGAAAATACAGTAATAGATACACGTTCAAACACATCATCAGACGTTCAGCAGACTACTATTAATGTGTCTGGAAAAACAATAACATTTTCTTTTAGCAATTGTCCTAACACATGAAATATTACTTGTAACATTAATGAATATTTTTTCACTATCTAATATACATCTTCCTCTCTTTAGTTGTTTATTATTTCCTCACTTGTTTGAGAAAAATTCTATACATGCCTCGGCGGGAACGGCGATTACTTGACACGTATTAACACAAGGCCTTGCTGTCGCTCGTCCTTGTAACTCATACTCCTCCAGCAACCCCTTACTTCCTGGCCTCTGTAATAATGTACTATTATCTACACTATAATAAATAACTCAACTTACTGCCTTCATCTTCATAAAGAAAAGCGAATTTATCCCATTTGAGAACGTCTCTTATAAGTGTAGCATAAGCTTTCGACAATAACTCTGAATCGGGATAATAGGAAAATGTAAATGGATAATTAGCCTTGTCTTCTATTGATTGCCATCCTAAAGTCAAGTGGGGTACCTAAAAGGAGTTTAAAAAAAAATTAACAAAGATAGAAGTGAGTCCTTACTTGCTGGTATTATTAAATTTATTATTCAGTGTCATAATTTGCGCGATTTAAGTATAAAAGTGTTATGTATAACCCAGCGGTTAATTTTAGCGTATTTTGAAAGAATATCCTAAATTAAGTGTAAATATGTGCAGCATAAATTAGAACATTGGCATCGTAAATGTGAATGTTTTATATTTATTTTTTATTATACGTATAAAGTTGTTTCTCAAAAAATGAGCAGCAAAGTCTATATAATAAAAAAGCCGACCTCAAAAGTTCGTGAAATTACATTTATTTGTCAAGTTTTATTGAAATCGATTACTAGGGAATTAATCCTGTTTCGCGTACTTCCCGTACGCGAAACCGGATTAATTCCCTAGTTTGCCACCCTTAGAGGTGGAATATTTTCTTCAAATTTAAATGGAGCCACTAAAGAGGTACCCTCTTTCCAACAAAAAAAGAATCATCAAAATCGGTTCACAAATTAGTTACGAGTTATCGCGTAACCATACATAAAAAAAACATACAGTCGAATTGAGAATTTCCTCCATTTTTCGTCGGTTAAAAAGATTTGGAAATAGCACTTACTCCAACTTTATTGCAGAGCATACACACATTGTCACAAATTCCATTGGTCGGTCGAGCGTCGATAACAGCTGAAATACCTTTTACCTCAATCGAATGTTGGCATACTAAAAATTTAAACCAATTAATGTATTAATAAATGGAAGTTTTTTTTTTATCTTATATAGTGTATCTAATGCCTATTGAGAGATGACTTAATTTATTAAAATATTTCTTCTAATTATCATGCTTCATATATTCATATTATTATTTTTTATATTATATATATTATTATTACGTATATATTATTATTTATATTTACTATTATTTATATTCATTCATCTTCATATTAATTATCAATTATGGTGCTTGTTAAAGGCTTAACACGTATATTACAAGTCACCAGGCCCTCGCCCTTGGTAATAATACACACTATCTTATGACATTACTAAGAAAAAATCAAAAATTGTAAGAGAGAAACAAAATATGAAAAAAATAAAGTAAAAAATAAAGATAATTTTTATACTTAGACACTTTTGAACTTTAGATAGATATATAAACGTTACCTTATTAAAAAATTTCGCACCCTTGGTAGATAAGATAAGGCTACATCTGCAAATTATAACTTTTCAAGGCAGAGGTTTAAGCGTGAAACACACAGGGAGCGGGTGCGCGGGATGGTTCGGGACCGCAGCGGGTCTAATTCCATGTATTTATATGGCGCACGCGCCCGCGCTCGCTGTGTTATCGTTCATACAAATACATAGAATTACACCCGCCCCTCGGTCCCGAACCGACCTGCACCCGACCCGCACCCGCTCTCTATGTGTTTAGAGCTTTAAAGATTCTACGAACGAAATTCGTTCATAACTTTTTTATGCTTCATTTAAGCACTAAACTTGCACTAAAGTTAAGTACGTCTTAAACCAACGCTTACAATACAAAAGACACTCTTAATACCTTGTCTTAGTGCCTTATCAATTAAACATTAGACAAGTTTAGTGTAAGTTTAGTGCAAGTGGACATTATAAAATTTCAATTAATTTGTTTCTTGTATCATTCGTACCATTTTTATAATTTTCATGTGACAAAAGCACTTTTGACGTATGATCACATGTGGCCTTATTGCACCAAGAGTAGAATTTAGAATATTTAAAAGTTTGATAAACTAAAAAAAGCGTATTTGCGTATTAATCTTTAGCGCATTATTTTTTTATTTGAATGCATTTTTTTAATGCGATTCTATCGTATATTGTAAAATGTGTATTACCTTCCATTGAGATGGAATAGCTATCTCTAGTTTCGGGATGGAGAGCTTCTCCGTGATATGAATCGGCTCTTTTCTTTATCACTTCAAAGGCATTTCTGGAGCTTAATAAATTCTCGTCAGTGAAAATTCCAACTGTAAATCCAAAAACATAGCATTATTTACTTTAAAAAACTTTTTATTTTAAACACGCGCACTTATAAAATTTGGCAAAGTTCACAGAAATTTTAATAAAAATAAGAAGCTTCGTTTCTTGGGTTAGTGAATAACTTGATGTTCATGAAATACAATCAGTTAGGTATGTAATATTTTGCCAACTACATAATTATACCTGCAAACAAACAAAATATAAAGAATACAAGAACAGGAATGGTACGCACCCACGGGAAAACTTGTAATAACCGTACTATCCACAGTTGCAAAGCCAAAGCAAATTACAATAATTAGACTTATTTTTACAATCGCCATGATGGTGAATCCTTTAATTAAACTTTAGTAACTAATTGTCACCTAAGATTCCAATAACGTTATGACGTTAGGCTTGAAAACTTTAAGCACTTCATATCTTTAATTTCACATAACTAAGTTGACAGCAAAAGTAGAATTTAGTTTTATTCACTATTGGTAAGTGTCTTAAAGCAAAATCGACCAATTCTATTGGTTTAACCGAAATGTTGACGTTGTGATCAGACTGCCGCGTCTCGTCTGAACCGGAGTATTTTTGGAAAACAATTTTAGGTCACGTCGCGTTACACGTGCTATGGAAATGAGTGTCCTCGCTTTGGCTCATAAATTGGGAATTTATATTTCATTATTTAAAGAAATTTGTGGAACGAAATGATTCATGAATCGTGGTGCTCTGTATATCATATTATATATGACAGTATAATAGTTGAAGTCAGAGTTACTTCATGATGAACGTTGAAGTACACATGTAATTCAATTGAAAAATGCCGCAACTGTAAATACGCGAAAATTTGTTTCCTATATACTTGTTTACTACTTAGACTTCACTTGAATAGACTGTAAGTATTAAAAATAGAACGGATTTTACCACAGCGTCCAATAAATACTAAAATGCGAACGCCGCTTCTAAAATAGTCACTAAGACTATAAGCGTTAATTTAGTTTGGGTGAACGACGAACCAAACGTTTCACAGTTCGGAGTGAGAGTGCGCCAGTCATAATCATTAAGGCGAAAATAATGCAATAAACTTGTAAAGTACTTGTAAAACTTGAAAAAGTATTTAATATAAAAATGTGGATGATTGTGTTTATATTTTCATTATGGATACAATTTAGTGTCCCTGCGTTCTTGACCACATATATTTCAGCACATGAAGATTATCACATAGGTAAGTGAAATACTGTAAGTAATTTATTGTCTTTTTACTTCTATTTTCCTTATTATATTATCCTCTGGAAATAGAAGATAAATACTATTTTCTTATTTGAATGGTCCATGCAGATGCACTTTTTCCAAAACGGTAATAGAGTCAATATATCTTTGTATTGATATATAATATATATATCAATACAATACATTTCTTTGCAACAAATTTTGGTTAAATCTTATTTTGATTATGCATTTCAAATGAAATCCGAATACAGTATTTTCATCATAGTGTTATTTAATCAATCATGAGCTTGAAACCGTAAATATTTATCGAAAAATAACCTTAAAATTAACGTCTTTTAATCTTGGTTTCTAAAACGTACTACGCCTTCCAACTTTCACTTTTTAATGCTGTAATACCTCATTAAATATAATCACCGAATATATTCGTATTTTTTCCAGCCGGTATTTTCACGAAGTCTTCGACCATTCAACGTAATGCATTCAACGAGAGTTCGATTTCTGCTACGTACCAGAATCGAAGATTACAAGCTGTTATCATTGAACCAATAAGGGCTGATAGTTATTCGGCTTGGAGAGCACGTTAGTTTATTTAAATTACTCTATTATAAACTTTTACAAGTATAATTACTTATTTTCCGTAACTAATTCGAGAATATCAATTATTGTTTAAGGATTATACCCTAACAATGATTTGCTTAGTTTTGTTATTTACATAAGCTATTGACTATGTTTAGGAATTTGTAATACTTTTATTTCTTTTAGTATGTAATAAAAAAGGCGTACAGCCTGTAGCGATATTTGGACCACAAGATGAAATAGCCGACGGTGCAGTTCGTGACCAATGCGCCTTAGTTGAGATCCCGCATATTCAGGCAGCTTGGCAGCCTTACGACCCTGACTTAGAACTCATCACACAGCCTGCGCAAGAAGAAATTGAAAAAACAGACCCTGAAGATACTCTTGAAGGAGAAGAACCGGGAGAAGAAGAAGAAAAAACTGAAGAAAGTGAAGTGGAAGATGAAATGCCAAAGTTTAAAAAGATAACGATAAATTTCTTTCCCGATTCTGATGAAATTTCTATAGCGTTTGCAAACCTTTTGAAGTATTACCGGTGGGAGAGCTTTGCTGTTCTTTATGAAGATGAGTTTGGTAAATTTTATTTAATTAAGATACACAATTGACACATAACTTAGATTTTTTTGCATTATCCTGTATTGTATTCACATACAATTTATGTTATGACATTGAAATCATACAGGGAGAATAATCTTATTTGATTCAAAATTACCATTAATATTATGATGGCATATTTTTATTTAAATTTATGTGCATGTGTTTAAATTACGATGGAAATACTTTATAGCATACGTAATTGACTGTTTTGGTTTTTTTTTTTCATTTTTAACTTTTTTGTCTCAATTTCAGGGTTGTTACGTATTCAAAAGATACTCGCTCTAATGACGACTGAGTTCCCTGTTGTCGTTAGGAAGCTGGATCCTGATGGTGATAACTACAATGTAACTAACTTTGCGATAATTTATAAAAGCAAAATAAAAAAAAAACTTTTTCAAAGTGTAAGAAACAAATTTTCATATTATCTTTAAAATACATTTCCAGGTTTTAAAGGATCTCTTAGCCTATCAACAGAGCCGCTTTCTCTTGGATTGCCACGTAGATCGAATCAAGAAGTACATAGAAATTGCTGGCGAACTTGATATGCTCAACCATTATCAGGTTATTTTTCTGCGATATTCTTAATAATTGCAGCTACCATTGTTATAAGTGGTCCGATTTAAAGTACTTTTATTAATTCTCAAAACTACTTGAATAATATTTTTTTTATTTTTTTTTAATAATAATAACGCACACACTCAACATAGCCTACTACAACTAGGGAAACCCTGTGTCGCGGGTGCCATGGACACACACATAGACAACCACAAATTACACCCAAACTCACGAGAGAAATAAATGTAGGCCATACAAATATTTCTCCCGGCCCGGGAATCGAACCCGGGGACCTCTGCGTGGCAGTCCGGTATGGTAACCGTTCGGCCACGGAGGCAGTTGAATGTATGTAAATTAATTAACGCGACCATCGTGCCTGAAAAGCTATTGCATTTTCTGACAAATTCTGCAATGCCCTTTTCTACAGCAAAATCTCCGTATAGCTATTACACATAAAATAGTTACCAATCTTTAATTAAATTCTAGCCACAATCTATCTTTCGGTGTTCCAGCACTACATATTTATGTCTCTTGATACTGGTATAGTAGCTGACGAAAACTGGGTGCTGAATGTTCGATCCAATGTCACCTTTCTCAGTTTGACGAAGTTCGAAGAACTGCAAGACCCGCAGAATCGCCTTGCATCGCGTGTTGGGAAATGGAAAGCTACAGGAGGATCTCCACCAGTCAACAAATTCCCGGTTAAAACCATTGACTTACAAATAAATGGACGACGGGTCTAATACAAAAACCACGAAAAAATGTCCCAAGTCAACCTATTCGAAATTTAAATTGTAATGTCATCGCAGTATCGCGCTGTCAGTAGAACAAATGAAGACTAAAGCGGAGTGTCGCGCTCTGTATACGATTTTAGCGCCTTACAAGTGCGGACACTTTTTAGCGCGGACCCGACGTCCATATAATTGTAAGTCAATGGTTAAAACGAATAAAATTATTAACAAATGCTGTCACTTTTTTAAATTCAAAAATCCTAGATTTTTTTACTGAAACAGAAAAGTACAATTTCAGTATATTTGCAAAACTAACACCCGTTTACTAGAAAAGCAGTATTTCATTTTCTAATTTCCATTAAAGAAACCAAAAAATGCAATTGTACATTTTCAGTTAGGAACACTCTTATTACTTTAAAAATATATTATAATATATCTCGCAGTTGGAGTCGTTAATTATCGATGACGTAGCAAACCACGTGGTTCAAGCTGTTAAAAACGTGGAGATAAAAGTGGCAAATGACGCTGGTTACACAGACTCCAGTCTTCTAAGCACAACTCAATTCGCATGTGGTAATGATGCAAATAAGTGGGAGTATGGTGCTTTAGTTCAGCACGAAATATTAAACGTAAGTGTTTTCAAAGAACGTCTACAGTAGCAAACGCCAGTTTCCTTCCTACCTACTTACCTTCCAACCTATTTCATTGCAGCAATTTATATTGAATATGTGTTTCAATTTACTTTTAGGGTTTTAAGAGGAAAGAAGAACGATCTATAAACCCGTCAATCTTATATTTTGACACAAATCCTTTTAAACATCCCACGAAAGTTACATGCAGTAAAAACTAATGTTTACACAAGTGTTGATTTTGCAGACCACGACAATGGGTATAACAGGGAATGTGCAATTCGATGACAATGGAAAAAGAATAAACTATATTCTATACGTGACTGAAAAACAAGTGAAGCAAAAGGTAGGAGAACCTGATGTGACCTGTGTGTTTGAGAGCATAGCTCGATGGAATTCAGACACACAACAAATTATCGATGACAGAAATGAAACTGAGATCGTCAGTGCCGACATAAATCGGCACACTTTTAAAGTAAGTTATGTTTAGACAACAAAAGATTAACAAAAATGGTATTTTAAGCCAGTTCCAAACATTATATCAATATTTTAATTGCTCTTTTACAATAAATTACTAATTATACTAGCTATTCTAAACCACTAAGGGTGAGGCCAGAGGAATGTAATTTTGTGAGTTGTGAGTTGTGTTATTTGAGTTGCGTAATTTACGCTGCATTCGGTTTAATATACAATACCGGTTTGTTCCACACCACGCCGACGAAAATGAGTTAGCTGCCGACTCACGCGCATTACAATTGAATTTCGATCACACCGAGAAACATGCTGGTGCGGGTGGAGGAAGGGTGAGAGAAGTGGTCACTTTGGTATTGGATGCGCGTAAGCAGAAACGTTTCTTGCTCCATTACACTATATGACACAAACATCCCGTACAAACGCATAAAAGCAACTGAATGAAATACGTTCGTCTGGCGATACAACCAAATTTCAGTCGAACGTAAACTACGCGACTCAAAAAACCGTAATTGATTAAAAATGGATATTTAGTATACAGATTTTTAGCAATTTTCACCTTTGTATACAGATAATAGCAAAAGTGAGCAAACCTTTCTTTTCTAAAGTAACTTGTGATGGTAAAGAATGTCCTGAAGATTACGATGGACCTAAATACGAGGGTTTCTCAGTAGATCTCGTAGACAATATTGTTCAAATATTGAAGAGAGAAGAAGGAAAAGACTATGATTATGAATTTATCTACGACCAAACTATAGATTATGGAGAATATGACACTAAAACTAAAAAATGGAACGGGTTAATTGGACAATTGCTGGATAAGGTTGGTTGAATTGCAGTTAAACTTTAAAAAATCTATCATGTCTCAAATTACAAAAATGCATTGTGCGTTAAGATTTAGAAACAATAGAAAAGTAGACGATATAATTGCCGTAAATTGTGTAACCATGACGATATTTTGTTTTTTGTTGACAGAAAGCAGACTTGGCGGTGTGCGATTTAACAATAACAGAGCAGAGAAAAAACGTTGTAGACTTTTCCGTACCTATCATGTCTTTAGGTATCAGCATTCTCTACATTCAAGAACGTCAAGTGTCACCAGACACGTTCTCTTTCTTATATCCATACTCTATTGATGTATGGATGTATATTGGTACAGCATATTGTATTGTTTCTGTTGTTCTTTATCTATGCGCTAGGTGAGTCTACGTATTAATTTTATTTATTTAAAATAATAAACCATTTTTCAGAATAGTTATGAAAGTGATATAAATATACGGACAGCCCTCAGGGTCATTTACGAGGTAAGGTCAAATTTCGAAAGGGCCGAGGATCTACTCCACGATATCCACTCCACCTACCAACATAGGTGGAGTAGATATCGGTGGAAATTGGAAAAAAAAACCATACGAACTGTCAAGGTTATCCGCTGAAAGTTAAGCCTAATATTCACTCGATATATGCAGTAGTAATAAAAAAGTTAGTTTGTGTACAACAAGTATCTGGCAAGTGCCTGGTCTATTTACATCCCAAACAGATACTTTAACTTTTTTGTCTTAAACCAAGTAATATAATTACAAGTACGTATTGACAATCCATCTACTAGTTACAACTCAACAGAACACATGATTTCACTTCAAAGTTTGTACTTCCAGTATTCAAAAATCTCAGTTTTTCGTTTGTCTGACCAAACTTTTTTTTTTTTGATCAATCGACAAATAACACTTTACTTATTAATATTTTAATGTTCAATTTTGTTTAACCTCAGGATATCGCCAGCAGACTGGGAAAACCCGCAACCCTGTGACAAGGATCCGGAAGAATTAGAGAACATATGGAATTTCAAAAATTGCGCCTGGTTAACTATGGGTTCCATCATGACACAAGGATGTGACATTTTACCTAAGTAATAATTTTCAACCAAACTTCTACTAGACAATCTGATATTATCTAAATTCTCAATCTCGTATTAAGGAATAGGTAATTTGATTTAACCTATTTTTTATGTTCCATAATCCTCGGTGTCAAAACACAGGGCATTTGGCAGTCGCTGGGTATGCAGCATGTGGTGGTTCTTCGCTATGATAGTGTGTCAATCGTATATCGCTCAGCTGTCGGCCTCTATGACATCTGCTTTAGAAAACGAACCCCTCAATGGCGTTGAAGATTTACCTAATCAAAATAAAATTCGTTTCGGAGCGATTAAAGGCGGTTCTACTTTAGAGTTCTTTAAGGTAGGTATTAAGTAATTTCTCTCAAAGACTTTTAAAATATTTAACCAGATGATACACAGGGTTAATTGTAAAAATTACAACCTCGCAAGACTATATTACTCAAAAAAGAAAAATGTTTTTCAGCGTTCGAAAGACAAAACATACAAAACAATATACGAAGTCATGAGTAAGAATCCAGCATTATTGGTGAAAACTAACGACGAAGGAGAAAAAAGAGTAATCAGTGGCAACGGAAAATATGCATTTTTCATGGAATCGAGTAATATTGATTACAAACTCAAGAGAAATTGTAATTTGAAGAAAGTTGGTGATTTGTTGGATTCGAAGGACTACGGTATTGCTATGCCTGCAAGTAAGTTTTTAGTAAGATAAGGTACATTATATACAGGGTGTAATCGCTAAGTGTGCCTAGGCGATTGTTCTTTAAATAATAAGATATATCAAAAAACTTAAACTGACATCGAAAGTATATTAATACTTAGTTTAAGTTAATCATAACATCCAAAAGTTCAACGTTAAACGCTCCCATGCATTTAATATGACATTCGTAGAGAGCCTTTAGTGGACCAACTTTAAGAGTGAGCAATAAGTTTACAGATAACGAAACTGCTATAAATAAAGTAATTAAACTGTCTTTTAATTTAATAAAATGAAAGTGATATTTATTTTTAAGTAATTATAAAATTTTGTACTCAAAGCAGTTGTTCGAAATTAAAGCCACTCTACCAGTGTCATTTTAAATGTATGAGGGCGTTTAATGTAAACATTTTGGACATATCTAATTTAATTTTTTTTATTATTGATGTCGTTTAAAGGTTTTTGATATCTCTTGTATTTACGGAATAATAGCCTGGACACACTTAACGATTACACCCTGTATACATATTAACAGGACCTCCATTACATGACTTTGCTGCTTCTAGAGATTGCAGGGAGATTGAAGGGACCACGACTGTGCCAGTCTGGGTACTTTAGTTCGTCGACTTATTATTGTATCGATTCCGTTAATATAATTTTGGATACTATATTTTAAAGAAAACATTTTTTGCAGATTCTCCCTTCCGGAAGATAATAAACAATGCAATATTGAAATTAAAGGAACTCACCATATTAAGCAATATAACAGATAAATGGTGGAATGAAATGTACGGAGCGAAAGATTGTTCTGCGGTCAGTGGTTGACAACCTTGAATACAGTAGTTACTTAATTATATTTTCTAGATTTCATCGTTTGCAACAGAATTACGATTATTATTTAACCTCATAGTAATGTGACCGACATATTTTAAAAACGTAACAAATTTAAAACTGAAAGTTTCAAATTTGAATAGTCTTATATACTTTTTAACACTTTCTTATTTATTTATGGTGAAATTAAATGCACATGGGACTTGTCAACTTACGTCTCGGGGTGACGGGCGTAGTCGCAGCGCCCCTAAGATTTTGCTATTTAAAGGTCTGAATGGCATTGCAATTGTTATTGATAGGCGTGTCATTTACTACCAGGTCCATGACTTGTTTGTCGGTCACTTGGTTTTATAAAAAAAACTCTCTTTATTAGTTTCTCTATTATTTATTTGTTCTCTCAAGTTAACAAAGACTACTTTAGCCGTCTCTCAATAAATAGTATCATTTTAATGACAGCTACAACCTAAAAAGGGTCACCTCACTAATGGCCGACTCATGAATGGTCAGAATTTAAACTTCTAGGAGTTATACAATTACGGACTATTTAGTTATTCAAATTTGCAACTTTCATAAAAATATAAATTAGTCAATGTTTTAGGGTAAAGAAGACGCTCAAGACGATATAGAGGGCGACATGGAATTGGAAAACCTAGTGGGATTGTTTCTGTTGACGGTCTTGGGGCTCATCATCAGTGTGCTCATCACAGCCGGTGAATTCATGAACGAAGTGCGGAATATCGTTGTTCGTGAGCAGGTACATTACGAATTCTAAAGCTAGACAAGGAGAGAATACTTAGTACATTGGGCTGCCCTTAGCGGTATGCCATTAGTACGGAACATCGTTACACCAATATATATCCATCTTCATAAAGATTTTTTAACCTACTCCGACATTAAATTTCTTTCATTGTCCTTCATCGCCAAAACAAACAATGATTTATTACTTTTTTTAAATTATGTCACGCATTGCAAATTCTTTATTTTGATGTAATCTTAATTTCGATATCATAATGATTACAATTAATAAATAATATGCAATGCTATTCATGGAAACGCATTACAAAATATTTTTAAGTACTTATATTTAATATTACTTTCAGGTATCTCACAAAGAGGCGTTTGTAAAAGAATTAAGAGCATCGCTGAACTTCTCACAAACTCAGAAACCAGTACTACGAAACCCTAGTCGAGCGCCATCTATGGTTAACTCTGAGAAAATAGAGGTGCCTCTCAACCCTGAAGAGAAGAAGGAACGACGATCTGCTGCCTTAGAAAACTTTCTAGAGCATTGCTAAAATAATACAGCAAGAAAATCTCACAGTGATTGAACTCTAGATGGATACCACTAACTAAGATATTAAATATCGTACATCCCCCAGCAAATAACACATTTGCAACACAAAGGTTCTTGAACTTAGTATCGCGAATTTTTGTAATCAATGGTAACATTTTTTTTCATGCGGTCCATGTGATTAGTTGCCGGCTGAAATACTAAACATCTGACTTGTAATAATAGAATCTGAATTGTAGTAATAAAATATATCTACTCGTATAATGTGAAATTTGAAAACCGTTAAACTCTCGCCCGTTTTTTATCAAATAATTTAATATTTTTGTTGTTTTCAACACGTAGCTTGTATTATAAGCTTGAAATAGAAGATTGTTAATTTAATGTTTTCATGTAAGTGACAGATATCGTAATGAGAATAAAAGAAACTAGTTTTGTTTGTAAAGATTTCATAATTTATTTTTTAGATACATTTTACTATTTTACCACACTTTATACATAAGCATAAGAACATACGGTTATAACAGTAGTTATAGTAACTGTTTTTACCGTACCCATGAGCATTTTTGTTTTATTTTTATTAATCCTCAGGGTTTTTTTTTTTTTCATTTTTTCATTATTCAGCTGAATAATGACGACTGACTGAACTAGACGTGATATGTTACTTATGTTTAGTGTAGTGATATTAATACTTAAACACGCCCATTAAAAATTATAGCATATGGTAAGAGTAAATATACGTAGAATCATCATTATTCAAAGCAACAGGCAATGACAAAATATATTTCCCAATATTTTCCAATTGTAATGTATCATATTTTGATACATTACACAAATTAATAAGATACATTAACAACTTACGTATATACTAGGGCTAGGTCTAAATTAAATGGATGATATTGGGTCCTCAAAACCGGGTGCCCCAAATGCTGGCAGCGTTCATCATTTTATACATAGTTTTGGTAATACGTTGGGCAAGGTGCCAACCCCAGTGAATCTTAAAGGAGAACAACCAAATCCCGTACACAAAAAGCCAGACTTAGAATAAACATACATACTTTTGATGATCACTCACGACATTTCTTCTCAAACTTAGTTTATTTTATATTAACCGACAGGACCAACAGGTCGAGCGCCTGGTGGTTAGCGACACCACTATCCATGACAGTTCCAGTGACATTCGGTGTTTTAAATAGCAAAGATCTGAGGGGCAATGAAACTGCGCCCGTCACCCTCACACATGTGTCTGTAATTTCATCAGCACTCTTACCCTTTAAAACCGGAACGCAGTAAAGTTCATATTACTGTTTGACGGCAGAAATAGATAAGGTGGCTGTACTTCTCACGACGAACTTTTTCACAAACAGCTCTACTGCTACTAAAACTATTACCCATCATATTCAACGATGATGTATTTCATTATTCTTTTGTTTAGTTGTTCCTTTTTGTTTGTTTTTCAGATTTTATTTGGTACAAGGTATAGCTGACTTTGCGACCAACGAGGCCCTAAGGTTTCGACTCCGAAGGGTTCCAATAAGTGATAGTTATCAGGATACCAGTACTTTTGTAATTAAACTGTTACAAATTTACCCACATGCATATATGCATTAGAGTATATACATTACATATGTATAACAGGTCTCTTTCGAATCATCATCATCGTCATCTCACCCCGTTAACACCCACTGGTGGGTTTAGGCCTCCTCTTTTGCACGCCAGCTCAATCGGTCCTGTGCGAATCTTATCCACAATCTTCCAGCCACCCCGACAATATCGTCCGACCGTCTAGCAGGTGGTCTGCCTCGAGGACGTCTCGCTTCTACCGGGTACCGCTCAGTAACCGCCATGGTCCATCAGTCGTCGTCCCGCTTTTTCGAATAATATGTATAAATGCTATGAAAAAATCACGCCTTTTTTAATAACAATAACTTTATTCAATCACACAAAGACAATGGTAAATCATAACATTATAAGCAAAAAACATTTAGGAACCTTTGTGAGATCGTACTAGGATTCCTTGTTTGATGGATCGCCAGGCCCTCGCTTCTGCAGTTGGACTTAAAAAAAAATTAGCACTGTGAGTTGATTTGTTGTTTAAACAAGGTAAATTAAGCAACAAAATATACTTAGTTAAAGATAATACCTTTTTTTTATAATATCAAGTGATGGGACGAACAAGATCGTGCGCCTGGTGGTAAGCTACAGGCCTGTCCATAACTCTTACAGTGCCACTCAAAGCTTTAAATCGCAAAAATCTAACAGGCACTTCCACTGCGCCCGTCATCTTGAGATATACGTTGGCAAATCCCATATGCCTGTAATTTCACCAGCACCCTTACCCTTCAAAACTTAAATACAGTAATGCTGACATTATTGCTTGGCGACAGAAATAGGTAAGGTGGCAGTACTACCCTGGACGAACTGTTTCACAAGGAGCTCTACTACTACTCTATTCTGATTGCTCTAATTGCTCTGTTGAAGAGGCGTAAGTAAAATTGGGTTGAATCATAATCCAAGGTAGGTAGAGGTCACAGCCTTCCACTACGATCCTGATAAACATTTTTCACCTTGTCGACTATCAATATTTTCATACGCGTTCATTGGTTAAGGTATCAGTATAATAAGGTCGTAAAAATATCGATTAGATTCGATGGCAATCCATTTAATTGACATATTTAATGATAGGAAAATAATTTTACCTACATTATCAGATCAGTTTATAATATAATTAATGCTAATACTCAAAATCATTCAGTGGGGTAATTAAATCATACAAAATGGTTGTGTTTTACATCTTTTTGATCACTTTTGTAGCCAGCGGGCTTGGCGCTGTGATCCCACCAAGTAAGTTTGAATCTGGTTTTAGATACAATAATGTTACCCGAAAACAATTATCGAATGACATAATTTGACCTATCGACTTTATTTACATTTGCTGTAGAGTTGATAGTAGCTTAAAGAAAAGTTTTGTTTCATCAACGTTACGGTTTTCTTGCGTACTCTTAATATGCATTAGGCACGTTACTGATTTTCTGAAGAAGCTAGTCAGTTTTATGAAAACCCAATATGACAAACGCAGTCTATTTCTTAGGTTTTCCAATGAATCCTATTTATCATAGTATTACAATATTCTCTACTGTAGCGCAACGCTTTTGATGTCCGGCGATACCCCGCCTACCTGTTTAGGTACATGCGCTATCGTACTAAGATATGCAAGGGTTGTCAAAAAAGGGAAAACTAATTTTGGCCATTACTTTAACGTAATCATTTATCAAGAAGTAATACTTAATCAATATTGCGCGTAAATAAATAATTTAATAATACAAAACTGAAAACATAAAAATAACGTGTCACCTAAAAATTTGGCAGTGCACTACTAGAAAAGTAATATTTAATTACTAAATAAGTCCTATTTTGTTTGTTGTAAATGTTGGACACCACATTACATACACTTACCACTGTATATATGTATCAAAATCATTATTTAAGTATTCTACACATATAACTGAACACAACACACTACATTATAGAAATATTTATGTAAAACTCACTCGGTTTTAGGGCCCACTGAAAATCAGCGTCACAGCCTGTTCTTGGTGGTGACAATAGCCGAGTGGGATCCTGTTACATACGCCCCAGGCGCACACACGACATTCAATCTAATTGTGTTGAATATTTAATGTTTGGTTTTTGTTGTTGTGCATGATTTTATTTTTATTCCTTTTTTCCTGTTATTTCTATTTTAATTTTTTGTTTTAACTTAGCTTCATCTTTTTTTTATCTTCATTTTATTACTGTGTATATTTTTGTTGAGGCGTAGTAATAAACGATTTCTATTCTATTCTAACAATTATTGTGTGTAAATAAATAATAAATTATTATCCAGTAACATAGACTTACAAGTATTGATTGCATTGCCAAATATTTACGTGACACTTTATTTTTATGTTTCAGTTTTCTATTATTCAATTTAAGTATAATATACTACTATTTAAGTATAATGTACTTAAATTTAATAACAGAAAAATGAGAATTGCGCAATTGTTTTAACAACCGTAAAACTGTGGTTTTAATATACGAGTACATTTGCGATTCTTGTTCTTTCTTTTGCGATTGTTACACATTTTCAATCGCAGAACACAATAATATTTTAATTTTATATATTATAATGTTAATAGAAATTATATTTTTTAACTCCCTTACCGATATGTACAATAATTGAGGCGAAAAAAAATATATATGTAATCAGGCAACACGTCACACTTTGATGGACAAATAAATTTGGAAAGGATTGTGTGCGGTCGAGTGTGGATCACGGTACACACTTTGGAGGTACGACAATCCACCAATACCATTCTTGATGCCATCGAACTAAACTGGGACTACACAGGTTGCATCAGTGCTTGGAGACAGGTATGTAACAAATGAATGTAGTTACGTTTCACGAGACTAAAAATTGAGTTGTTTTGTTTACTTTCTGTATGTATATTAAGGGCAATATACAGATTATAATATACATATGATAACGATAGATATGACAATTTAATATTTTATATCTCTAATACTAAACAGTTTTGGTTTACGATAAGGTTTCATAGGTTATTATTACTTTGCTACGTGTTATATGGTTCTAGCCTCACAAATTATTTTAAAGCCGAAAAATCTTAGAAACTACGACGTACTTGTTCTTTAGCTGAATTTATATTTCTTAACAAAATATATTATGGTAGCGGGTAGATAAATAAAAAAATAATAAAGTTTATAAATAGACAATTTCCTCGAGGGCCGTACCCTGGGGCAACGTGTCCTGGGGGCTGGCAACATTTTCCCTTTGAATTGCGAAACCATTCCTTGGCGAAAATAATTACTTGTTGTTCACCGGAGGCTTCTACGAAGCGATATGAGAGCTAAAAATTTCGCCTCTGGTTCCCAGGGACCCAAGGTTTCAACCGCAAAAGGTACAAAGTTGTAGCACTGAGCTAGGTTGGCGTATTTTAGCCTTTTGCGGCTCTCGGCCGCTCTGGCCACAGAGCCTGCGCCGCCCACGTTTGCAAAGACATGGGAGGGCGCTACAGTGTCCTCACAGGTTGCGTCTCCCTATCTTCTATGGACAGACTGTCATACCGTCAGGCCTCTTACCGTCACTGCGAATGATGCCAGTGGGCTCGAGAACTGACGGTATCTTAGCGCTGGTGAAGGCCCGTACAAAATAATTCGAAATAACGTGTCATCCATCACAATTTCCTGCTATAGCTTCGTATTCCCATCCAACAGATAGCTCTATTCGACTTTCAACCTGGAGCAACATCTTGGCACGATGCATTAGTGAAAAACGACACAATTATGCAAACTGGACGGTTCGTTACCAACGTGCCTCTAGGTAAAGTAGTCTGTATAATTCTAATACTACATACTAATCTTCATGCAATATTTAGTAGCAGGAGAGCTTCTTACGAAAGAGTTCGTCCAGGGAAATACTGCCACCTTATCTATTTCTGCCACCAAGCAGTAGATAATGTGAGTATTACTGCGTTCCGGTTTTAAGGGGAGAGGGTAACATTCAGATACACAGGAGATAGACAGTGCTGGTCAAATTATAGGCATATGGGACTTGTCAGCTTCTGTCTCAGGGTGACAGGAGCAGTGTGACTGCCCCTCAGATCTTTCCGATTCAATGCTCTGAGTGGCACTGGAACTGCTACAGACAGCGTGTTGCTTACGATCAGGCGCACGACTTGGTCGTTCGTCGTCACGTGGTATTATAAAAAAATGCATACTATATCAACTCTATACCGGATTTCATGCTAGGTTAACATTTTAAACTATAACGCCTATTTTTCCAGCCATCAACCAAGAGATATGTAGAGAGCCCGAAACGGTGGTTTGTTTGAATAAACAAATATAAGCGGTTTAGATCCGGAAAAATAGTTTAATTCCCTTAAAACCTTAAAACTCTTTACCACGTTTGTACTGTTTTATGATTATTATTAGCGACGATCCTGCCACACTCCTTTAGCTACCCGAAAATGTATGATAACCGTGCTCACTAGATCAAAAAGGCGAAAATTAAAAACTATGTTAGTTCCGAGATATTGGTAGTTTCGAAATTCCTTTCTTGTAAATTCTTTCCCAAATCAGTTTTAAGGCAACCGTTTGCTAAATTTTGTATTCAATCAAAACATTTCCTCTCCTTAAATGAGCATAAAGCATTTTATCGCATGCACAAGTCCTTTTAGGCGACGTAAACCTGCCAGGTGGATGGCAAAACGGTCAAGGAACGAGAGGCACACATTGTTTGTGGCCGTGGATCGGTGGTGGTGCAACTAACGTCGAAATCATTAACTGCTTGAAGATTCAGCCCACATGGATGCAGGATAATGCGTAAGTATTTATCACAGAACAATAAATATAGTAGAAGTGGTTAGTTAGCATCCTATGCGTGCCAACAATAGGTCTCACTCAACTCCTCCATTTTTGCTTTGTATGGTATGGTTGTGTTATTATTTCATGCAAATTCTCTAATATTCTAGAAAAATGCCTTATTGTGCTGTTTTGGAGTGCAAAAATGATATCCGCATCAAAAATATTACCCGTGATGGTATATCAAAGCAACGGAAAGTCTTATTTTATAAATGTTCAATTTTCTGTTTATCGAAATATTTTTTTTTGTTACAAGAAACGAAAGCCATGCTTATAGATCTGCAATATGGTCGTATGTTCTTGTTTGGAGTCGTTCGTCGTCGTTCAGCAATGAACCGCAAGATGACAGGACATTGATTGAGATTTCAATACACGATTTAGACGTCGTAACTTGTAATAATAGGTATATATGGTATTGAACTTTCGACGATATGCCAACAGGATAAAGTTTAAATTAGATTGACAATCCAGAATTGTAGTAGTTTCAAATTTAAAAAGAAATAATTTTTATATTTGAAACTACGACCAATCAATATCAAGATTTTGTGGTGTTTCAAATTAAGAATGTGTGAGTTTTGGCGACATCGATTCTGATAGTAATCGAGGCTTACGACACTTCCATTGTTTTTTTCCTCCGCGGTATTTACGTTAATAATTAAGGCTACAAAATGACACGCTGCCGACATATAAATTATTAAGTGCGAATAACCCGAATGCTACTGAAATGAGATATACAAGTATCACCTAAGTATTTTCGTTTCATCATCAATCTTTCTAAATCACAATCTAAACTAACCCCAAAACAAAACACCCCTTAATCAATAAGCAAAAGATATATGCGTCAGAATCCGAAAACAATTAACTTCTTTTAATAAAGTCATGTAACAAAAAAAATTTAGGAAAAGCTAACCTACATTATGTTAATTTATATTTCACTATACAGGATACTATGTTTTACTTGTATTGATATCCGTACATCCAGGAATTATTTATTCAGAAACCAAGGCGGTATTTGCGGCGGCTGAAACATTTCAGGTTTTGAAGGGCAAGGGTGGTGAAATTACAGACACATGGGACTTGTCAATTTATGTCTCAGGGTGAGACGGGCGCAGTGGCAGTACCTCTCACATTTTTGCGATTTAAAGCTCTGAGTGGGCCTGGAATTCCTATGGACACTTAACTAACTTAACACCAGTCGCACGACTCATTCGTCCCGTCACTTGATATCATAAAAACATTATTTTTAAATACGATTCTTAAGTAGTTACTAATGAAACGTATTCAATTGACATAGTATATTCAGAGATTAATTGCATTATATGTAATCTAAAAAAAATTTTGTTATTTTTAGTGATTTAATAAACAATCTACGTCTTGGCGAATTGGCCTTACCAGGAACGCATAACGCTGGCTCCTGGCGATTCAACTCACCGATATCTGATGCTGCCAGAGACTTGTTCGTGTTATGCCAGGATCGTTCTATTTGGTCCCAATTAGTACATGGCATTAGATACTTGGACTTCAGGGCCAGTTACTACAATACATATCCTAATGAAGACGACAGGTTTGTTAAAAATACTACTTAGTACAATAAAAATTCATTCTGCCGCCGTTAGTTGAAACGGCGCATGTGACATTTAAAAAAAATTGTTATTTATGTTGCCGTGGTCACTATTTTTATTTTTTTATAATTTTTTTTTTATAAAATATGAAGTTATCGCAAGAGAGAAGTACCTAGATTTTTTCTTCAAACATTATTTCACGGTTTTGAATTTTTCTCACAAGGCCCTTTCAAGTAACGGCGACAGCATTCATTTTATAAGATATCCGTTACGTCGAAGATGAACAGTATCAATACATGTAATAAAATCGGAAAAAGCTGTCTGTACTTAGGAAATGTTAGTCAGTGAAACCTAAAATTTCGGTTTTTAGGCTTTTTCCGTTTGACTGTGACTTTGTGCTCGCTAATCTACACAATGACTGAACCAATTTGAAGGTAATGTTAGCTGTTAAAATAAGCTTAGATTAAACATTTAGCGCTTGTGCGCCAAGTCTGATCCGAATCCGAGAACATACGAATATCGCTTGTACACCTAGAGTTAAAATGATCCCTGTGTGCGAAAGAACGAGTGCGGGCGCTGATCAAACTTTGATTAGACATGGTGTATGTTATGCATTAATACCCGATAGCTGTAAATCCAATATTGTATATATATGGAACCATTTCTGCGAGGAATACCCACGTATGACCAAACAACAGTTTCCTTTATATGCATCAGAGCATACATAAGTAAGACTCAGAACGCCGGAGAGCCCCAACGGCATACTGAAGACACGTGCCGATAGACTGCACAGTGCTTTGCAAAAGCTTCGGCTCTTATAAATCCTTATGTTGAATGTGTGTACGTTATAAGTAAATGTTGTGTGTATTTATTAGCATAAAATATGTAAACTGTTTTATAATGTGTGTATTTTATATTGTTACTAACGTAATTGTAGGTTTTTTCTTGTTTTATTTTGTGGTTTATTTTAAGTACCTTGTGGTAGAAATAAATAACATTTTAAATGATTAATTAATGAATAAGTGATACAAATGTTTGAGCGTATGAACGAGCACAGCTAGTAGTAAATAATTTTCAAGTTTTTAACATAGTAATGACGTCATTTATGTGGTTACATTGTAGTCGAGTTTACAAATTATACCTACACAAATAAGAAGAGCTCATAAACTATATTACTTAAGTGGAAATGTGATGTGGAGAGTTAGCCGCCCTGTTAGCTCTTTAATATAAATCTCCAGAGTGTTATTCTATATACTATTAGACAGATTAAACTTCGCCTATTTTAAAAGAATAAGCAAATTTTTTAAACAGATCACTTGCGAAGAGATGACCTGTTGAACTACCTGATCAAGTTTGAAGTCATGTCATATTTTGTATTTTTATAATCCTCAGTACCAAAATACTCCAAAGTTATATTTTTTACTTCATCGAATAGACACTTGCGTCGTTTTTAATTTAACGAATCTGTTTTTGATTTTTTTAATAAGTTTCGTTTCAGCGAAAAATAAATGGTGAACTAAACGCAATAGATACATGATGAAACAGATAAGCAAAACAAAATCAATGCCTACTTATATAACAAATGTTTTGACGTAATTTCCAGATATTGGCTGAATCACAATTTCGTAAGAGTACGGCCACTTGTCCCCCTTCTGAGAGAAATAAGGCAGTTCCTAGACTCCACTAGAGAGGTAAAGGAAATGAATATTAACTTTTGGGAAATGAAACTATTTTTCCGGATTTAAATCGCTTAAATTCGTTTTTTCAAAGAAATTAACATTTTGGGCCCTTTACAGGTCACATGATCACGATTTACTGAGGTGGTAAAGACATCAACCACTTACGTCGAATATTATGATTATTATATCAAGTGACAGAGGCAACATGATTTTTTATTAAATTGAATTTATTATTCATTACCTATGTGTAACAATCGCGAAAACCTAAGAACTCGATAAATATTAACATTGTGAATTCATTAAATGTACAAAGAAAATTTAACTTTAACTGTCTTTATAATAGTGAACAAAGAGCAAATAACTTTACTTACATTCCCTTGTTTCTTCTCAGTTAGTGATCCTGCATTTCCACCAATTTCCAGTTGGATTCGAAGAAAATAATGTTCTTAATCGAAATGTTCACGCTGGACTCCTACGCATTATCGAAAGGGAACTGGGCCCCCATATCGCACGCGCACACGATTTCCCATGGACCGCTGGGTCGAGAGGCCCCGTGCTATCGAGTTTCATTAACGCCAATAGAAGGCTCATTGTACCGTACAACCAAGATCGAATTGTTAGTGGTAAGTTTTAATATTGTTGATTATACGTGTACTTATTAGAAGTGTATAGTGTTAGAATTAACCAACACTGAACGTAAACATATCTATCACTTGTAATTGTTTGTTAGGGATAACAAAATAAAGAAATATTTTTTTGAGATATTGAATATCACGACGATGTTTGATGTATAATTTAACAATTTTAAAGCAATTCTAATTGCATTACAGAGTTATTAACATTTATTATAATACTAAATTATTGGTATGTCATTAAGAAGTAAAAAAATAAAATTCGTAAATATTTTTTTTCTTTTTGGTCAAATAAATTTAATTAAATATTAACATTTTATCGTAGCAAGCCATTATCATGTCATGAAGATTAAGTAAAGTTTTCTTTCTCCTTAGTCAAAACAAATTAAATTAATTTAAATTAAGTAGTCAGATTTGTTGAAATTTGTATGAAAATAAGTCTGTTTATTTGTTTGATATTCGTGATGTTCTACCGCCATATTATTTTTGTGAAATTACTTCACTAGTTTGTTACTCTTTTTTTACTTACTATCTCACAGAGTGTGATGATGTATGAGAAAATAAGGCCTTGAAAACCAAAACAAAGATCTGCAACAAGCACATAGAAAAATTCGTATGGTCCGTTAGTTCGTTCCGTGGCTTAGTAGGCATGCCACGGTTTGCTGGAAAACATTGGTCCGAATCCAGCCGGATCGAAGGATATTTGCTAAGTGTTCAATCATTTTTCTAAGTGTTTAATTGTTATCATTGTATTAATAATTATAACAAATAAATAAGTTAAGGTTCTTTCTTCCATTCTTCAGGTTTTTTAGATTCTCACTTTTAAACCCCAAAATGTATTTCTCATTAAAGTAAGTAAATCAACAAAAATTGTTAAAGAATTGATTACAAAATTTTTTTAACATTATTCAAACGCTAATTATTTTATTCTTTTATTGAGTTTAAATCCCCATTTAGTATATAAAAACATTTCGGGACTCTAGTTGTAATGTATTTTGTATGTTTATTACGTCTAAATTGGATCTGTAGCGACGTTTCTTCTTTCAGAAAACAATTGGCTTTTTCCTCAACTACCCCATTTATGGGCAAACACGAATAACGTGGACGAATTATTCCGTTACCTCGACAATCAACTTCAAACTCAAAATCCACGGCCAACTTCACGTAATCCAATGCATTCAGCTATGGCTCAAACTACCCTTACGGCTACCGATATTGCATTATTCCGAAGCTCAATTAGGCAAGCTGCGAACGATGTCAATCATAGAGTGACTTGGAGATTATTGAACCAGTGGCGAAGAACTTCAAATATCATAGCTTCGGATTTTTTCCTCGGAAATGATGTTATAGACATGTCCATCATTGTTAGCAGGGAACGAGGACTTCAAAAAGTCGAAATGGCTGACACAAATGACGAAACTATCTAGGTTATATATATAGGTTATTTTTGAAAACTGGCTAAATTCGTTGTTAAAGTAACAAAATTTATAATAAATATTTCGATGACAGCATGACTTCAGTTTACTTTTACCTGAGTTTGATATTATTTATATTTACTAAGATTTTGGTAGTACCTACAAACTAATGCCTCGGTGTAGGGAAATAATTGGTTAGATTGTGGTTAGGCTTTTTATCTCCAGTCTTTCACTCTAAGAATTACAAATTAAAAGGAATAATTGTGTTGCAATCCACTATAAAGCGACAAACCAACCACAGAACATGAAAGAAAAATTATATTTGGCGAAATTGATATATATGTATATATATATATATATATATATATATATATATATAT